CTACTACTCATAAAATAAGACACATGATGTTTGATGTGAACACTGTTCCTTTTCTCCAGAATTTTTCCTCACCATCACAAACACCCCCTCCACTTCACCTCACATCCCATCCTACTTTCTACAACCACCAACACTCCTCCAACAAGTAGCTAAACCTACTACCACCATCTCTTTGTCCCCTTCTATTGTCTTCAATAAACCAACACCTACTCCTATACCATCCTCTACACTGCCATCTCCTCCTCAACCTCCACCCCACCATCACATGATAATAAGAACCAAAATAGGTATCCTAAAACCTATTCATATATTAAATCTCCTCCACTACCCACCTCCCCCCCCCCCCCCCCCCCCCCCCCCCAATCCAAATTCCTTTATCCAAGCATTCAAACAACCCCAATGGAGAAAGCTATATCAGAAGAGATAAATGCACTTCAGCGACAAGGCACTTGGTCATTAGTTCAACCCCCCATCAATCAACCCAAACCAAGTTCTTGATGGATTGATACAACCAAATTGAAATCACATGGTGAAGTCATGCGACATAAAGCCTGTCTTGTTGCTTAAGGTTACAAGCAAGAATTTGGAGTAAATTATGATGAAACCTTTAGTTTGGTTGCCAAACTCTCTACAAGTAGCATGCTTATTACAGTGGTGCTTCATTACGATTGTCATATCCTGAAAGTTGACATTTTTAATACGTTTCTCCACAACACCCTCAATGAGAAAATTTACATGAAGCAACCTCCTTGTTTCCAAGATCCCCAATTTCCAAACCATGTATGCATGCTCCAAAAATCTCTGTGGCCTGAAGCAGGCTCCAAGAAAATGCTTTATCACTTTCTCATATTTTTTTGGCAATAAAAGATTTATATTCACCAAGGAAGATCCTTCATTCCTCATATATCATATGAATACAACTTAAATCTTTATTCTCATCTACATAGATGATATTCTAATTACAGGAAATGATTTGAGTGTGATCTCATTTCTCTCTGAAAATTTGGCTATTATGTTTCAGCTCAAGCATCTCGCAACATGGATGTTTTCTTGGTATTCATGTTCAGAAATCAACTGGCACATACCGTCATAATCAATAACAATACACACTCAATTCTTTTCGAATGTGGGCTTGGAGGACTGCACACTGCTCATCACACCCATGCAAGTTCGCAACTTTGCATCTTCGGAATAAGGTATGCCATTCCATAACCCCACCCTTTTATCACCAATCGATAGGAACTCTCCAATACCTTACAGTAATTAGTCTGGATATCGCCAGTATTGCCAACTGCTTATGTCACCATAGCCAACTACAATCCTCTTACACGTCTACTTCGATATCTGAAAGGCACAAGTCATCTTGGATTATAAGTTCGACCAGGGAGACCTCCACTTAAGTTTATATGTTGATGCTGATTAAGCTGGAGACCAATTAGATCGGAAATCTACCACTGATGTGTGCTTGTTCCTTGGAGACACTTTAGTGTCATGGACAATCAAGAAATAATCCACAGTGGCGCGTTCATCGAAGAAAGTGGAATATCGGGCAGGCCTATTCAAGAATTTGGTATTAACATCACACAACTAACACCACTTTATTGTGACAACATCTTCTCTGTCTCCCTAGCACATAATACAATTTTCAACGTCCGCACTAAACACATAGAGATTTATTATCATTTTATTCATGATCACATTCATTCCAAACACCTATGGATTGAATTCATTCACTCCCAGGATCAACCGACAGACATTCGTACTAAACATCTCTCCAAACGCAAGTTTCAAAAATTTTGTACCAAGAAGATGGGTAGTTCTTCCACGACCCATCAACGCCAGGGGATCTTAGCAATATCACAACAATCTTAGCAATGATGAATTGGAGTGGTCCCCAAGAGAGGAGCTCGACCATGTCCTAACTATTTTATGATACGTATTCAATACTTTCTAATATCCACTATGTATACACACTGCTATGTATTGAATTAAAGGAGGAGATATAATTTTGGTTTCTATACTTAACTCATCTTCTTCCTTTCTGATTTTTGTATCAGTATTCCATTTCTACTCGAGCTCTCGTATTTCACTTTCCGAAAGTTGGTAAAACTAATATTTTCTTATGTAATATTAAAGATTTGAGTGTTATGCATGTTAATATGAAGTCTAGGTGTCAGATATGTAAATTCATAAAAGTTATGTGGTATGTAAATAAATTCCCCTTAAGAAATCAAAAAAGTGGAGAGTTATCAGAACAACCATCAAGATGGAGAAGGCCAAAAGGCTTAAAACTCTAACATTACCGCCATCATGATTAAAAAATAAAACTATTTTAAGTGGAGGTTTCTCTTGTGATAGTGATTGCTCAAATGGTAAAAAAAAAAAAAGTCATAAACTTATGACTGAAATCAATTTCCATGATCTCATGTATACATTTCTGAAGCATTTTTGCATAAATAAATGATAAAATATATGAGTTTGTCATGATGGACTCGACAATAGCTATTTAATTCAAATTCAACGTGCAGACTAACCAACCAAATTTTGATAGAGATAGCTCGTGATTGAGACTAACACGGGTTCTCTTAACTAAGCCCAAAGCACCTATTCGACCACCATAAGGGATTCACAGGATTATCACAATGAAATGTTTTGTATGGAGCAAGGACAACTTCATCTTCACAAGCCAGCCAATCCAAGCAGCCACATATGACCATGAATGCACATCAACTCATCAAGAGAACGAGTGAATTCTCAAGCGCAAGAGGGGCACCTAATCCGAGTTTTATCTTGAGATAATACTTCTTATGTATGTCTTAACCCTTTCGTACACATGCATTGTTCATCATCTATATTTTCTCATATTAAGAACATGTCTAAAAGTGAATCATGATATTAGAGGATGTATGCATTGTCGTCAACCTCTTCAGGGAATAATAATGATTGAGGCGTTGCTTTGCCATCATAAAAAAAAGTAGAAGTTAATTGATGTGGAGATATTTGCATGGCAACAATTATAATTTACAAGTTTCTGTTTTAAATTAGATGTTTTTTTCTTACTCATTAAATCAACGCGCACGCACGCAAATATGCACATTGACAAGCAATCACATAGCCCGATATCATATCATTTGATACATGCAAATGACATCTTCATATTACATCATAATTACGGGTTTCAAATTGTGTTCATGGGTTGGATTCAAGTCTAAATCAAAATTGACTGGGCTTGAATTTGCTTGATATGAAATTGACCCGAATATTAAATGGGTTTGGGTCAGGAAATTTTACCCGGAACCGACTCGCCTTCAACCTGTTGACCTTAACCCGACTCGCATAACCATTTAACTTAAGTCATGACACCTATTTGGATTGACTTTGAGTCAATTTTGATCATTTTTTAGTTGGTGGGTTAGATGCCAATAAATTTTGAGTTAGCGAATGTTGGTTTCAAGTCATATTTGGGTTGGCAAATTGACTCGAATCCAACCCACAAAAATTAAATGTGTTGGGATTCCTAACTCGTACTATTGGGCTCAAATCAGGATTTTTTGAGTCAATTTTGGATAGAATCAATATTTGTCAACTCTTTTCAGATTAAAAAAGATGTCATTCAATCTTTTTTTTTTTTACCTTTTCAAATAAATAAAATATGTTTGACATCATAAAATATTTTTTTTTATTTATGTTCTGGCTACAAATAATTTTTTTCAGAGTTAAAAAAAAATTAATTCACACGATTAAAAACAAACCAATAAAACTATTTTTTGGAAATAATAATAAAAAAATGATAAAGATATTTATCTCTTTTTTTTTTTGTGAAAAAATTAGACCTACTGGGTTGGGGTGCAATCTGAAAAATTACTTAATTTTACTTGAAGCAATCCAGAAGTGTATTACGCATAATTTCATATTGAAACAAAGTATGTAAATAAATAAATATTTATAAACAAATGAGAAATATTCATTCAAAAAAGAAGTAAATAATTTACACAAATACAAAAATATATATTTATTTTTAATGCGTGATGGAAGATCCATTGCGGTTGAGTAATGAATTATCGTCAGAGCGTTACACGAAAACTCAATACACACTTAAGTAATTAAAAACAAGTAACAGAAGAGGACACCTCAAATTTTGTGTGAAAACTACTGAAAAGAGGAAAAACCTTGAGGGCTACCCTAATTAAAATAATTTATTATAAATAGTGAATATACATATCTACTATTCTTTTGAATTAGCAAGATTGAGTTACAAAATTGATCAATTTGAATGTACAACAATTGTTAATCGATCATAGTTGTAGTCTGGATGTAATGAATGTAATTCTCGATACTAGCAGGTTGAAAGGGTCGTAATCAATTGCTATAGAAACATTATTTTTAGACACTCATTAATTTTGATAAGATCGTTGCCTGCTCATATCCACAAAGTAGATTCCCTTGCCCAAAACCTACAACCTCACCTCCTAGACAATCATTCTCTTCATCCCCTCCAGATGCCGATCACCATCAAGACATTCAATTATTATCACAACCCAATCTCTTGCATTAAGTGTTATAAAAATATTAAAATAAATACAATTCTGTGTTTATGAAGTCTTTCCACCAAACAAATATTAAAAAATAGTTTTAAAAATTATTTTGCAAGCAATAATATATATCAATAATTTATTTTATATTTATATTTATTTGAAATACAACTGAATTATAAGTAAAGATAGTCTTCAGTTATGATTTTATAATTTGTCAAATATAAATCTAAAGGATAATATGTATTATTCGAATTAATGTATTTTTTTCATAGCTAACTACACCCATGATTTTATATTTATTTTACATTAAATTTGAATTACAACTGAATTTTAAATGGCGCTGATTTCTCGGACGGTTTTTCTGTCTCGAAATTGTCCACCTAGCAGGTTCTTCTTAACGTTATTTTATCCCTGCGGATCATCGTACTGAAAACCCTAAACCCTTGCGGATGCTTCTAGAGCCACGCCAGAGCGAGCTCTAAAATCTCTACTCTTCCGGTAGCCTCTCCTTTATATGCGCTCTTCTCTTTCTCTTGGATGTGGAAACCCTAATTTGATCACTCGCCGCCTTCGCTTTCTGGTCTCTTCTCTCCACTCTTCTGTCCGTCTCCGTGAGAATCGACAGTTCGGACTTTAGTCATGCATCGATTTGCAACTAGCCTCGCTGCGAAATCCCGGTAAGTGAACGGCCCAACCTGGAGAGCTCATCAATGTGACATTTTTGCCTCGATTCCTTCTGATTATATGTTTTATAACAACCAATGATCTGATCGTGTTTTGTTTTTCATTCACTCTTTAAGGGTTGCCGGCGGCGGCGGCTGCAGCAGCCGACAGGTGAGTTTTCTTTATTAAATGGCATTGAAGTCAGCATTCTGGAACTCTTTATTTGTTATTGATTTTTTATATTATTATTCTGATTGGGAAAATGCCATTTGATTGGAGATGCAAGACAACGTCGTCTTGTTCTTTATGTTGCGGTTTGATTCTTTCTATGTTAAATAGTCGCACTCTCCTGGTCTGCTTGTTTTGTTATAGATTGGAAGCAGGCTTGCCTGGAGCAGAAACTATGCCGCCAAGGACATAAGGTTTGGAGTGGAAGCCCGTGCTTTGATGCTCAAGGGCGTGGAGGAGCTCGCTGATGCGGTTAAGGTGACCATGGGCCCTAAGGTATGATTTCTTCTTACTTCCTTTTCAATTACCCAGCATGATAATGAAATTTAAACTAGGGAATATTTCATAATTACCACACAATTCCTATGTATTAACATTTCTAACTCCTGAACTTTACTTTTTTTTTCTATTTTTACCGCCCAAATCTTTCATATCATATAAAAATGTCACTATTTTAACTTTTACAAAGTACAATAAACCCACACCCTTTAATGCTTAGATAGATTGATATGCATGTAAAAACGAAAGTTTGGATGTTAGATATATAAATTCACAGGAATTTAGTGCTATGGATGAAATACACTTTTTTCGCTTTTGTCCACGAGCAATCTGTTTGTGTCAAAATAATGATATTCAAATGGTCCGGAAGTTGGCTGTCTTGTTTGTTTAGGTAGTGGTAAATGAGTAACCATGACTGCAATCAATTTAGAGCTGTAATAGAGCCAAACAAAGCATAGCAGCTATTGATTAGATTTTGTTTGGTCTCGCTACAAATTGTTTATCTTGAATTTGAGCTTGGGCTGAGCATACACATACATACCTGTAAATAAACAAGCTCATAAATGAATGAGTATTAAATGAAGTGCCATGTTTTGTCATATTAATGAATGATTTTATAGGTATTAATAAACAAACAATTCGTTATATCTAAACTTAGTATCTCTATTTGACTCTCACAAAGAAATGTAATGGATACTTGGGGTGTTAAATTAATAGACGAGTTAAATAATTAGGAGAATAACAGATGTTATGGGGTGCTAAACATGTTCTTATTAAATTTTTTAATGAATTTGAGATACAGCTTCCAAAATATTTATCAAACTTTTTTCTTTTTTATGTCATGAATTTAATATATTGGTTTAGGTGTTGAACAATTGAACCTAAGTATTTCTTTTACTATTTTCTTTATCATGATTGCTTATCTTTCAATTCAGTATTATTTTAGATTCAGCAATATTTTTAATTATTTTTTTAAATATTTTGTGCTATGTTTAAAACAGTGTATGTTGTAATATGCACTATAGTTCTATAAGGACCTTTGTGTTATGGTTTGCTGCTTGGCATTGACTGTTATGGTTTGCAACACATAACTTCGGTACTTTATTTTGTTATAGTTTTGGAGGTTTTTAGTCAATGAATTCATTTTTGAAAGTGATTATTATTTAAAAAATGCACCAAAATATATGGATTCTCAACTGAAATTTCAAAAACCTTAACAAGCAAACCTTAGATTCATAAAAAAAGTAAATGGAATAAATTCTAACTAAATATTTCCATGAAGGCTCTTAAGAGAAGTCTTATAAGTCTGGACAAACACTACAACCTTTCAAATATGTAATAAGCTACATGCAAGGAGTCATACCTCATGGAAAAATTGTTTGATGGTCTCTGGTTCCCCTGTAAAATGACGAGTTAAAAATATAGATCTATAGTTTAGGTTGCTTGCCAATTAAGTAGATGAGTTGTGATTTTACGTGGAAGTGGGTTTTAGGACACCCATGTAATGGTTAAGAATTGTCTTTCAACCACCAAGAAGGCAGAGCTTCATGCAACATACCGGGGAAAAGGTTCAAAGAGGGCATTTGATAGTGATCTCTTTCTACATGCTTGGAACACATGTTATTAAATGTTTGCTAAACAAGATAACAAATTTACAATATATTAACGAAACATAGAATATGACTAATGCAAGTTTTATGCTGGGCCTAAATGTGGATTAAACTGGTGAACTGAAGGTAAGATTAGGTTAGTTATTGTTCACGTAGTTTGTTTGTGGAAAAAATTATGGGAGGGATGGTTAAGGGCAGAAAAATGAATTACTGCTTGTGTATTAAGGTTTCGGTGTAATAATTTGTTATTGCATTCTATATTTGTTAGGGGTGCATATTTGATTGATTGGGATGGTTTGGATGACAAATTTGCAAAATCAATTAGTTTTGGATGTTCAAAATATTGAATGGAAATTACCAAATGTTAATTGAACTAAACTAGAACAACAATTTGGTTCGGTTCTTCTCATTTGATTTTGGTAAAACTGAGATTAGTTTCATTATGTGATTAAATTTTGAAGGTTTATTGCATGATTAATAAGCAATAAGCATAGTTAAAATTAATAATTACAAAAGCAATTGTTTTTCTTTAATTTTTAAACAAAAAATGTAGTTAAAGCCGTAAAGTTGTAAAAGCATTGTTAAAACCATTTACCATAATTCGGTGTTTGATTTTATTAGAAATATTCGATACTATAATTAATCTAATAACCAAAAATGACTCGTTTTTGTAATTTGAACAAATAATCAAATCATTTAAAAGAAGATTTGGTTTGATTTTTTATTCTTTCTAGAAAATGCACACCTCTATTTTCTGATTCTTTTATGTATGATTTTATTGGAATTGTATCAAGTAATTTTTTGAATTTTGGTAGGAAATGGTTTGATGTATTTTCTCTAAAGAATGCCTCTTTGCCCCATAATGCAAGGAATTAGTGTTGGGAAAATATAAATTGCCCTCAAATCACATGCATCACTGTTTGTATTTTGTGTTGTTTTTATGAATTATGACTAGTATTTAAAATTCATGCAAGGAATTGTTGTTGGGATAATAGTAAATTTCCCACCAATCACATGCATCATTGTCAATATATAGTGTTGTTTTTATGAATTATGACTAGTATTTAAAATTAATGCTTTAAAAAGAGTTGGTTCAAAAATGCTTTAAAATACGATCATCAAAGTCTTTGTATAAAGTGTTTGATGGTATCAAAATATTTGATACCATGATTCATCTAATAACCGAAAATGAATCATTTTCATAATTTGAGCAAATATTCAAATCCCTTAAAAAAGAAGGTTTGGTTTGATTTCTTATTCTATCTAGAAAATGCACGCCTCTATTTTCTGATTCATTTATTTTTTATTTATTTTCTCTAAAGAATGCCTCACCATCCCATAATGCAAGGAATTGTTGTTGGGAAAATGTAAATTGCCCTCCAATCACATGCATCATTGTTAGTATTTGGTGTTGTTTTTATGAATTATGACTAGTATTTAAAATTATTGCAAGGAATTATTGTTGGGAAAAAAAGTAAATTGCCCACCAATCACATGCATCATTGTTAGTATATGGTATTGTTTTTATGAATTATGACTATTATTTAAAATTAATACTTTAAAAAGAATTGGTCCAAAAATGCTTTAAAATATGATCATCAAAGCCTTTGTATAAAGTGTGTATCCTTGATGTCAAGTGTATGCTTTGATTTTTGGAAAGTTTATGATTTAGTTTCCTTTAAATTTTTATTAGCCCAGTTAAACGTTTTATGATATTCAAATGAAAGGCATGGTAAAGAAAGTTGGTCAGAAAGCAAAATGAAACTTGCCGCTTCTTTTCTAATCCAAAGATACCCCTTTTGCTGTTCCAAAATAAGAATTCTAGTCTTTTTCACAAGTTCATACTTTTGCAGCTCCAAAAAAAAAGTTATCGTCTCTTCCACTATTTCATCCTTTTTTGTCATAAGTTCTTTTTACCTCACCAAATCTGCACTTTTGACCCATCAACCTTGCTTGTCACGCTATTTCATTCGTTCATTCTTTTGGATTATGTACCTTGTTCCATTCTGTCTTCATTGGGGTAACATATGCTTTAATATTTTTCTCTAATTTATTTGCGAACAGCCCATAGTTTGATGATTTTAATTTTAACTTGACATCACAAATTCATTATTTGCTACATAAGTTCATTTTAAGTTTACTCTATAATACTCAGTATGATGCTATTTTTAAAATGTAGAAGTTTATTCTTTATGCTATTTATTTTGGAAAACCTGTACTAATGTGATTTGTGTCTGCTAAAGTAATCATTCTCATCAAGTCACTTCATACTTTTCATTAATCTCTTTTAACTTGGTAAATTGTACTGCTCAATTCATCCAATGTTCAGCCTATTCTGAACACCAGCTCAAGCGCATATCCTATTGACATGTCTTCAATACTTGATACTTGATGACCATCTAATTGTGAGCTATTTTATTATCAAGGGACGTAATGTAGTTCTTGAGCAAAGCTTTGGTGCACCGAAGGTCACGAAGGATGGTGTAACTGTTGCCAAGAGCATTGAGTTCAAGGACAGAGTTAAAAACATGGGTGCTAGCCTTGTGAAACAGGTGGCTAATGCAACTAATGATGTTGCTGGAGATGGTAAGATTTAAGAAGATTTAATTGTGCTATATTGTGTTGTATTGTGATAAGGACTACAGCTCACATTATATATATATATATATATATATTGCGGAAGGTTATTTATAGTCATTTTTAATAATTACAGATTACTTATGAAATCGAATATGAACACATATATAGTTACATAACCTTTTTATATATTGTTGAGCTTAGATTGTCTCACTTCCTGGCAATTTTCATCTTTATATTATTTTGAAGATTGTTCATGTTTCTGTTTTAATAGGTTTGTTAAACATATTAGCTTTATAGTTAAGATTGTGCGACTTCACCTGAATTAGTGTTTGGATGCTTTGTCTCTAGCCACATGGTTTCATGTTCAAGGCTTTGCACATTTGTGTGTATGTGTGAGTTTATTTTGAAATAATCACCTTGAAAATTACGTTTAAGGTATGGTTTATTCTATCATTCAGTTTTAGAGGGACACAGAAATTCATCTAATAAATGGTGTACAACCACATAGACCATTAATGTGGTGCATCGGTTTGTAAATATAATTATTATGAGCGTTCGTTGAGCAATCATTTCATTTCATATAGCTCAAAAAATATGTGTGAATAGCTTTTGAATATTAAAAAGTTTGGCTGAGGGAGCTAATTGGCAAGAGAAACAAGTTGACAGACTGTTATGTAAATTTTCTGATATATGTAAACTTTTGGATGGACGCATGCAAAACTAGTAATAGAAATAATAATAGTTTTAGGATTAGTTTTCATTTCCTTTGGCCCAATAAGATTATGAGTTCTTGGAGGGACCAAAATTGATTTGTTAATGGAATTGACAGATTCTTTTAGTGTGAATTTTTAATGGGCATGTGAATGAAATGGCTAGTTTGATTAATTGAGTGAATTAAATCCTTTGATTTTTATACTCTTTGATTCTTTTGATTTTTTTAATCTATTGCATATTTCATTGACCGGGCAGTTTATTTATATGTCAAGTTTATTACTTAACTTATTGGTAAACCTGTGATTTTTGTTTTTTTGTTTGTAAACAGCTTCATAATGCACTTTTAGGTTCGATCTTAAAATTTATCACTAGACCTTTTTTTTGCAGTTTCAATCTTAACTTCTAATTATATCCCAAGAATGATTTTATAATTCTTGGAATTAGGAAAGTTATATTTTGTGTAATAGCTTGCATAATTTTTTACATAAAATAATTTAAAACCTTGTTCTTAAGCCATTAAGCAACCCATTCAATTCCCGTCTTATTTTTTTCCATTTCTCCATGATTCTCTCTATTTCTATTTTTTCCCCACAACATGGAATCATGCATGTCAGCACTCCGAAGTACAAATAGTTGTAGAGCTTTCTCTATCTTTGAGCAAAGAGTCACATACTTTGAAAAAAAAGACCATATATTGCATCCTCTTCTGAAAGCATTACTTTTTAATAAGATTTTATTTAGTTTATTTTTAAATGTTTCAGATTGTACTTTCATAATTGCAAAGTTATGATGTGCATATGTCATATGTTAGTTTATGAAAGACTTGTTGATTTTCTTTTATGTAATTCATATTTTTAATGCATTCATCTTAAATAAAAGTTTTATATTAATTGAATAACACCCATTTTTTATGAATACTATGAAATTCACTTTAAATGATGACTTTCTTCGGATTAGCCTTTAATTAAATGCTATAATAACATTCTTTCTTAGAAAATGATGCTTTTGTGAAGGAAACATTTTGCCACAAAATTTGTTAAATTAGGATATTTACAAACTTAGATGCATATATATATATCTTTTCAGGCATGTATTCTTTTGTAAGCAGCTCGACAAAGATTTTCTCGGCCAAAGTGAGTGGTGGGGGGCTGCTATTGCGAATTATTTATGTAAAAATTTTTAATTAAGATTACTATTAAAATTGTTGTTTGTTATTTAAAAATATTAGGGATATTTTAGCTTTTTATATTAAAAAGCACATTAAAAATTTTCTCTTCAAAGGATAATATCGGGTTGTTATAGCACTGTTTTTTTTTTCGCTTTTAAAATGACTTTTATAAAAGTTGACTCTTACTCAAACAAGGCCTAATTTTGGGGCATATACACACATAACAACAAATATTATGTATTTATATATTTCATTCCTTAACTATCATGCTTACATAGCTCTCAATATCACATAAAAACTAGCTCTGTTACCACTCCTTAAAGAGGTTTGAAGCACCAAATTGCTATGTATGGAAATATAAAAATTTACATGTGAGATATGCAACTACATGAGAATTGTGTGCTACGTATGTAAATTTCTATGTATGTTATTGTGCTTTATAATGACAATCTGGCAATACGAGTCTATCCGATTTATTTTGCCTCTTTTCATTGTTTTTTGTTTATATGCAGGTACCACATGTGCGACCATCCTTACCAGAGCAATTTTTGCTGAAGGATGCAAGTCAGTTGCAGCTGGGATGAATGCAATGGACCTAAGGCGAGGCATCTCTTTGGCTGTTGATACTGTGGTTACCAATCTTAAAAGTAGGACAAGAATGATCAGCACTTCAGAAGAGATTGCACAGGTTTTTCCTTCTATATAATCTCTCTCTCTCTCTCTCTCTCTCTTATATATATATAATATTTTTAAATTTATATGCTGTATGATCCATCGTTATTTCCTATATATTTTAATTGTGGTCATGTTAGTGGGGGATACTTAGTGGTTTTTGTTTTATTTAAAGGTTGGTACTATTTCTGCAAATGGAGAGCGAGAGATTGGTGAATTAATTGCCAAGGCAATGGAGAAAGTTGGGAAAGAAGGTGTCATCACAATTTCTGTAAGTTACTTGTGAAGACTTGCTGGATTTCATATTTCTTATACCTTGAAGGCTGCTAATGTATATGCTTCTCTAAATTTGGTTTCAAGGATATGTTTGATTCATTGATAGAATAGTAAATTATAATGTTAGAATGAGATGAGGAGGACCATTATGAATGAAAGTTACATTTCTTAATGGGAAGAAAATCCCTTTTTCCAATGTTCAAATAACGTTATGTTTCAAATATGCCTTGAGGGATTATTCATTTTAAAATCATACAAATTTTTTTTAAATTTAATTGTAATAAAATTACATTAAAAATTTTAGTTTTCTCAAGGTGTCTTTTGGGACATAGAAAAGTTTTGTTGCGTTTACAAATATATCACCCAAATCTAGTGCATTTACATATTCAACACCTAAACTTTCATATTTACATTCATAGCATTTAAATCTTTAGTATCACATATCACTTATTAACTGAAATTCACTTTTTCATGCAATAGGTTTATGACACCAAAGTTTTATAATTGTAGATATGAAAGTTTAGGGGTTAGTTATGTAAATGCATAAAAATTATATGACATGCATGTAAAATTCCCAAAAAATTATTCATAATTGGTGTGGAATAGGTTAATAATATACGTTATCAATAATTGTAGATATGAAATTTTAGGCGTTAGTTATGTAAATGCATAAAAATTATATGATATGCATGTAAAATTACGAAAAAGTTATTCATAATTGGTGTGGACTAGGTTAATAATATACGTTATCAATAAGTTTTCCAAATTGCTTTTGAGATAAATCTATTATTTGAGATTGGAGAGTGATTGTCTCTCTAATTGTTTTAACATTAAATTGCACTATCATAGTGTGTTATGTAATTGAAAATATTTGAATTTATCGTTTGATAAATTGTATGCTCTTGCATGCTTGAACAGTGAAAATTATTTCCAATACATTTGGTTACATAATTTGGTGAGGCTTTTAATCCAGCATGAACTTCCATATACACGAGTTATAGTATTCAAGATTGAAAATGCATTTGAAGATTCTTTCAAATCTTATGTTCATGCTTGTAAGTTTGACAGGAATGATATAATAGTATCCCTGTTTGGCCTAAAAGATGTTTACTTAAAATAATGTGAAGCTGTGACACATTGAGTTAACCAAGTACTGGAGTTCACCTTTGATACATAGTAATCTACTGTTTAGATGTGATATTACCTTCTCATACGTCGATTTATAACACCAAAATGTTATAAACTAAAATATCAAACTTGAAATGTTAGATATGTAAATACATAGGAATTATGCGTTATGTGTGCAATTTTTTTTTTAATTGCAAATGAAATATGAAAAATTAGCAGTTTCAAAATATAATGTAATATTTTAAACGAAAACATAGCATAAATCATGCTTGTTGTGGGAAATTGGACATGTAATTGTCTTGAAATTTTGTTGGATAAATCTTACTACATATTTAATTATTGCATAAACCAAATAGGTAATCATTAACTTTTACTGTTTTAAAGGTTGAACTGTATTGGAGGTTAAGTACGATAGGCTTTGCATCATTAACCGGGGTCTCAACTATCTGTTAATTTATGCTTGTGCTCTAAGCCTTAACCATATGAATACCATAATTTCATGATCTTTTACCCATACGTCTTATTCATCTCAGTATAAATAAGCCATGATCTTAGTGCTTGTTTGGGATCACTTTTATTTTTTATTTTTTGCTTTTATTTAAAAAACATGTTTTTTAGCTTTTGTTGGTTTTTTTTTTTTTTTTGCTTTTTAAAACAAATTAGCTTGTTTTTTAAAAACACTCCAAACATCTTTAATGCATCTAGAAGTTGTTTTGAGTGCTGAACGTGTTTTATTTAAATTAAAACCTAAACAAAGCAAGATTAAAAAAACAAAAATCAAAAGTGATCTCAAATGCCCCTTAGTTTCTTTTTTATCAGTGTTTTTATGTGCCTTTTGAATTTTTCTCAGGATGGCAAAACTCTTTACAATGAACTGGAGGTTGTTGAAGGAATGAAACTCGACAGGGGCTACATATCACCTTATTTCATCACTAACCAGAAAAACCAAAAATGTGTAAGCACTCATTTGTGTCATTGTCATTTTGAAAATGGTTTTGCAGCTGATTTGCTTCTTTATTTCCAGGAACTGGAAGATCCACTCATTTTAATTCATGAGAAGAAAATTTCAAGCATCAACTCTGTAGTGAAAGTTTTGGAGTTAGCATTGAAGGTAATTTATTTCATTTTATTTTTTGGCTTCAGGTCAATTTGGCTTGTTTGAACTATTTGACTGAATTGCTTTAGTCTGAATAAACTCATTTAACTCTTATATTATCAACTTTATGCAGAGGCAGAGGCCTTTGCTCATTGTTGCTGAAGATATAGAAAGTGATGCTTTGGCAACATTGATCCTTAACAAGCTTCGAGCTGGAATCAAAGTTAGCCTTTTTTTCCTTGTCTCAAATTAGTAATGTTTCATGTATTTTATAGGAAAATTTCAATTGAATTCTTTAAGCAAATATTTAACCGGCTGTCTTTTTCATGTAGGTTTGTGCCATCAAAGCTCCTGGATTTGGGGAAAACAGGAAAGCTGGTTTGCAAGATCTTGCTGTTCTCACTGGTGGTGAGGTGAGCTAATTCACTGGATGTGTTGATATATTTTCTCTCAAATAATCTATAAAATGAATGTTTATTTTTCTTTTGGACTTTAAGTTGATCACCGAGGAACTTGGCTTGAACCTTGAGAAAGTTGAACTTGAAATGCTTGGGGCATGCAAAAAGGTTAGTATAACTTTTATTTTAATAAGCTTTTCGTTATACTTCCACTTATTTATTTTTTTTATTTTTATTTCTTTTATTTTTGTTGCTAACTGAAATAACTTAGCTCTATTTATATGCAGACTGATCTGTGGTTATTGTTTGCATGCTTTAGCTCATTTTTCCTTCAGATAAATCATTTCTTTGATAAATCTTGCTAGGAAGTTTGGTGCATGCCAATGATTCTTACAGTATCATTCTGCCCTTTTGCTTTCCTTGTTGTATGCTATTTTCCATAATTTTACACAAACAATCGTTTGATATTTCTAAGTTTGCTAGTTTCTCTTGGTCTTGTTTAATGATCTTTAAATTGTTTTTTATTTTTCTACATCTAGGAATGTTTTCCTGTTTTATTTCCCTGAAATTTTTGTGTGAAATAATATCTGTTTTTTGAGATGTGCAATAGAGAGATCCTGCACTATGTTTTTAACTCTTCCATGGAATCATGATCACGGGAAACACAAAAGAGCTGCGCTTCATCTGCAAGATTAGAGATTGGCTAATTCACATACTTGATCATAACTAGTTTGTTCTGATAATTTCAGGTGACTGTTTCAAAAGATGATACTGTTATTCTTGATGGTTCTGGCGACAAAAAGGCTATTGAAGAGAGATGCGAGCAGGTTTTTGTAATATTCTATTTCGTCTATATCTTTATTTAAGTGATTTGAACGATGACATGATTTTATTTATGTTGCTCATTCTGCAGATAAGGTCTGCTGTTGAGTCTAGCACATCTGACTATGATAAGGAAAAGTTACAAGAAAGGTTGGCCAAGCTCTCTGGTGGTGTTGCTGTTTTAAAGGTTTGATTATCTTTCCACCCCCTTTTTTTTCAAAATTAAACCTTGCCATAATCATGACCTTTCTGCAAAATACCTCAGGTTTTCATGTATAATTTTCACTTTTATGTTAATTTGGTAATATCATGGTTAAATTTAGTGACTATTAAGTGGACTTACTTGATACACATGTAATGCAAATATGCTTTAAATTGCATAATTGCCTCTGCTCTATAATGACATGGATTACAATTCGAGAAAGTTAGGAATTTGGACCTTTAGGGACCGTCTAGATGGTTTTAAACATGTTGGTGTAGTGTAATCTTGTTTAGTATAACATGTTATTTTATTTTAGCGATATCTTTTGAAGGCATTCATTTATTCTGCTTCAAAATCTTCAGATAGGAGGGGCTAGTGAAGCTGAAGTTAGTGAGAAAAAAGATAGAGTAACAGATGCTCTGAATGCCACCAAAGCTGCTGTTGAAGAAGGAATCGTTCCAGGTTCTACTCGTGAAATTTCACATATCTCATCCTTATATTATTTTAAACATTAAAATATCATCTGTGCTCTATTTCTTTTTTCATAGGTGGAGGTGTTGCTCTCCTTTATGCGTCTAAGGAGCTGGAGAAATTGCATACTGCTAACTTCGATCAGAAGATTGGAGTGCAAATCATTCAAAATGCTTTGAGGGTAAGAATAATTTTTGTATTCTCAATAAGCCAGATTGATTCCGTTTTTCGATATTATCACCATTTAGGCCATTCTAAACTTTTCCTTTTAATATTAAAGACCCCAGTGCACACTATTGCATCAAATGCGGGTGTAGAGGGAGCCGTGGTTGTGGGAAAGCTCTTGGAGCAGGATAATCCTGACCTAGGATATGATGCAGCCAAAGGTTTTCACTCTTCACATCCTATTAAACCAGGAAAATTTTGTACCTTTATTAATTCCATTATCATTTGGAAGATTTACAGTCGTACTTTTTTTTAATTTATAGCAATTTAGCATGAAAAGTTGTGTTTCACGTATAAATTGTTAGTAATAGTGGTATATCTGATGTGATATTGGGTATTTGGGTGCTATACATGTAAATATATTAAAATTTAGATTTTAGTTATCTAAATAGATAAGAATTGTGTGGTTCTTATTTGAATGCTCCATTTTCTATTTTTATGTAATTCCCATTTGATGCTGTTCTTATCCAGGTGAATATGTTGACTTGGTGAAGGCTGGTATTATTGACCCCCTGAAAGTAATTAGAACTGCATTAGTGGATGCTGCAAGGTGAGTGATGATCCTCTTCTCCTTCTATCCCTCTACCGTGATATAACCTTTGTTGCTGACCATGCATAAATTATTATTATTTATATGATATGATGATTTATATTTTCATTTTATTAATAAATTTATTGGTATCGGTAACAATTAATTTGAACTTGCGCATCACTCTAATCTACCGTTTGAGACTGTGCTTTGCGTAGCTCATTGGACCACAAATAATTTATATGCATTCCACTATTCATTAAAGTATATTTATTTAAATACCATGGATATTTGTTTTTAGGAATATATGGCTACAAAGGATGAGTGGACTGATTTGGAATGTTGAGAGGTCTATATGCATCTAATCTTCTTCGAGTGCATAGAATTTTGCTACGAAAAGTTGAGATTAATGTGATGATATAAGTGATTAGGAGTTAGCTTTTTGTAGTTCCTTGTTATCTAATAAGTATCACCTTAGACCAAAAACTACGGTATCATTTCATTTTAAATGATTCCTAAACATCTGGAGAAGGTAAGCATATAATTAGAATGATTCAATCTATGAAAGCAATACTGTAAATAGAAATTTTTTTTATAGAAGAAACAATGGATAATTATTAAGGTTTAAACATTCCACAATAAGACATTATATTTAAGAAGATATGAATTACTTGGACTTAATCTAAATTGAACTTTTTAATAATTGATTACAGGGCTTCTGTTTACCTCACTTTGATAATTAATTTGAGGATGAAAAGTTGATGAAATTTAAAGTTAGCTTTTAATTATTTTCATAAAATTTCAAGGTACAAATGTTGCATCTCTATGGGTCTTGGGTGTTACATATAACAAACACTACAAAATTCATAGATAAATTAATATAGAGAATAATATGGGAGGGAAAAGAAGAGTGTTATGGTATGACTCATATACCATATCGGGACAGACACTGGATCGAAGCGGAGCGGAAGAATCTGTCCAAATTGGGAAGTTACGTGGGTTGGGGTGCGGGGGCAAAGCCCCGCGATATGGTACAGGGGTAATGTTGTAATTACATATTGTGCCTAGGTTTACTCCTGGGGTTATAAATAGGTCTGTTAGTAACCCTAGGAGGTATCCTCTATTTTGTAATCTCTGTTCTGATTATTAAAAAAGAACTCGCCGCTCTGCTCCTGAGGACGTAGGCATCTTTGCCGAACCTCGTTAAATCTCTGTGTTCTTCTGGATTTGTGTCGATTCCTATTTTTCTTCGCCCTTATTTTCTCAACAAAGAGTTTATGCCAATATGCTGTTTATAGTTTTTCTTATTTACTAGATAGGACAACAAATAATAATCATAGATATATGGCATCATAATAATGACGAATAAAATTTTCAGTATTCAAATGTACGGCTATCTTGACTAGCATGACCTAATATGCCTACTACCCTCTCTTCGGAAAACATGGCAATTAGACCGCTTATGTTGTATATAGTGTTGGACAAATAAAAATTATTGGGGTATTTAAGTTTGCATGTGATAGAAATCTTAATAGTGCAATAAACATATGAAAAATTAGGTTAAATTGATGATTGTATTAGAGAAATTTTTGGAGTGTCATCTTTTGAAGATAAGAATAATTTAAAATTAGCTTGAGATTTGTATTAGGACTAGGAAGTAGAAGGATCTTCCAAATAAATTTGTATAGAATGCAAATATGATAAATGAGAAATCATAAAATCAACTTCAAATAGTTGGGATAAGATTAGTGATGTCAGATTTGGTTATATATTTCGACACACCTCATTAGCTCAATTTTAAATAGTAAGTTGTAAGCACCTGTTTAATTTCGGTCAATTACAGCACAATTCTTATGTACTTGCATATTTAAATCCTAAACATCCATATATATACCATTCAAATCCTTAATATCACATGAAAAAGTTACAATCTCGTACCAAGACATTTTAGGTGTTAGATATATAAATAGATAAGAATTGTGAGGTATATATGTAAAATTTCCTTCTAATTATCATTTATAATATTAAACAAATGCCTAGTATATAATGCCCTCTATTTTGCAGCGTTTCATCTCTGATGACCACAACAGAGGCTGTGGTTGTGGAGCAGCCAAAGGATGAGAAAGAAGTTTCTCCCTCAATGGGCGGCGGCGGTATGGGTGGACTTGATTACTAATTTTTCACCCAAAGCCATGCAGCAGTTTCGCTCTGAATTTTACTCTTTTGTGTTTTTGATGAGAAAGAGCTTTCATTTCTTATTATGCAGTTTGCCCTAATTTAGTTATTCAGCCAAATGAGTCATCAATTTTGTTTTGAGGCGAACTTTTTTATTGATGTGGATGGATTATTCCTGTTGTGGTGACTGTATGTGCTAATATTTATTTCATCACGCAAACATGGAATAAGAGATTTCCTGGTTTCTTTTAGATGATACATTGCGCCAGTGATTGGGATGTATTTTAGAGTTGTTGGTTTTTTTTAGATAAATAATATATATATATATATATATATATAATTTCAACCCATCATTTTATTATAATATCACCTACATCCTAGAAACATAATAAAATTTAAGTCGATTTTGGTCTAATTGGGCCACATTAGGTGTACTGGGTCAGGCTGTCTGAGTTCAAATCAAATGTTTTGATCTATATAATAAGTGGCGTACAGCAAGAACCTAATTCGTTCACCTAAATTGGCACCACTACATTCTCCTCAAGTTTTCATAAATGAATTGTTTTCATTGAAAATAGAGTTTTCTTTTATTGATCTATTTGCGCCATTTATTTTATACTTTTATCAGCCTCTCCATCTCCTATCCGTATATTTCTTGGTATAGAGTAAAAGAGTGTATTTTTTTCATTCTTTGATGAGAATTTTGGCTAAGAAAGTACTCTCAAATTGGTGTAGAAATGTGTGAGAGAGAGAGAGTAGAATACTAGTAGTATAAGGTTAGGAGTGTCAAATTAGGTTGCCTGAAATTTATTGATTAGAATTATTTGACCCAAACCTGAACAATAATTGGGTCATCAAATAAAGCATCTCATGCTTCTCTCATGCTTCTATTTGCGAGGACCAAATAAAGTAGCTCTCAGACTTCTGTTTTTAGGTAAATTAAATGCAAATTAATAAATGTGATATAAGTGATTGGGATAACTCCATAAAGTTTCCACCAAATAAAATGAAGACAAGCATCTACTTTTATTTAGCAGCTTTATAACTACCATAAATAGATAAATAACAAATCTTTTTTCTTTTTTGTTAATTTATGAGCTCAGTTGTATAAATCGTAGATGGGGAAAGTTATTACCTCAGATGAGCCTCACATTCAAACACCGGCGACAATCAAGCTACGTGAAATACACGGTGATATGTCTGGATCATTGTTGTTGTATGTTGCTCAGACTTACGATTTATCGGATGTAATAATTTTTTCCAAAAAAAATGAAAAGCAATCCTACCTAACAATATGAAGGCCTTTAATCATACCAAAAAAAATCAAGTATTTTTTTATGGAAAGTATTTAGTGTTGAATTATTAATTAAAAATAAAGCAAATTATATTTAAAAACACAGTATTTAGATCATCACTATCAGCCACACCATCTCCAGCTGCGTCCCTTCACTTTCGTAACCAGCTGCTACCATTCACGTCACACCTCATCAGCAGCCATTGTTATCGCAATCATTAGCCACCACAATCAACGCATAAGTATAAGAAGACGTGTTCTTAAAATATCAAACATATTTTAATTCTGGCAAAATTCTTATGTACTTACATATCTCTCATTTGAGCTTTCATATTTACATATTGAACATTTCTGTGCTTCAATTTTATCTAAAAATTACATATTTGCCATTTGATTTCATTATATCCCCATAATAACACGGCTCCACAAATTGCATGATAGCTTAAACCCAACAATGGACCCAATAAATGTGATATTTAATAAAAAGACGATTCACGTACATACCACTCAGCTCTTATGTATTTGCATATCTAACACCTAAAGTTCAATTTTTACAAATACGACACCTTATATATATATATATATATATATTTATATATATATATTATATATATATATTATTATGATCTATATAATAATGACGTATACATGAAAATTGTCATCATGCATCTCGAGGAGATTAAACTAAAAAATTAGAAGAGAAAAGATGCTGTTACAAGAAACTACATGAACACATGAAAGCCGATCATCATGAATATCGACAGCCATCTAAAAAACTATCAATCAACTAAAATCTTGACTGACTATCGAAGGGCCGCCTAGTCCCACAGGAGGTAGACATCTACACCGATCATCCAAAGGCCGTTGGTTGCCACTCTCAAAGCCACCCAATTACTTAGATCGAAAGTCAAAGGATATCCAGGCAAAATAGCTGATCCGAGCCAACTAAATTGACCGACCCGAAAACCTACCTGTCCAAAGTCTTAGGTGCGCAAAAGGATGTAAATATCAGTTATGAATAAAGAAAAACGTTAATAGCAGTTATGATAACAAAAATGAGTCAAAGAGACAATATTAATTTATAACGCCCGTAATAAGAGAAGCTTAATAAGGCAATGGCAAATTTATAAGAATACAAATGATCTCTAACATCTTCATTGAAGTAGGGATAAACATATAATTTTATGAATGATACATTATTATTATAAATTAGGAGAATAACTGAGCTCAAAATCATGATTTTATAAATAAATTTTGTTAGCTAACATCAATAAACAATAAATAAGCGAGGATGAATTCGATGAGCCATACGCTCTCATTCTGAAAAAAAAAAAGCTAATTTTTGTAGTTATTACTACCACGACTGTGCGATTAAACAAAAGTTATAGAGTCCGTGCGCGCTGTTATTTTCTGGCTTAAGAGCTGCACAACACAGCCCCACTTGTCTTCGCTTCACTTACATCGCCATCTAGAGAAACTTGGAACGTCGCCGGCGACAGAGGCCCGACGGCGAGACCATCTCCGGCGAAGAACTCTTAGTCGACTCCAGATCTTGATCTATTTGAGATCATGAAGCAGTCAGATCGCAGCTTTTGGTAGATGCACAAAACATCACGCTCTCTCTCTCTGTGTTTAAATGTAGAAGATAGCGAAAGTTTGCTGTTCGTTGCTTCACATATTCACTGTTATTTGAAGTCTTTTCCGATCTCGATTACAGATTACTGGAGCGTCCTATCCACATCAAAAAGTGATTTTTCTCCTCTTGGCTTTAGGAGTTAGACTTAAAACCTAGCTAACGCGACTGCATTTTGTCCTTTCCGTGGGAATTCGATGGATTTTGTGCACGGATGGGTGTTTTTTGTGGGCGAAATTTCACGTTATTGCGATCCGATGCTGGTTTTGGAAGTTTTGGGGATTTTCTGATTGATTTGTTTTTCTTTGATATCTTTTTTATTGTGTTTTTGTTTGGATCGAGCTCTCTTTCTGTTTTCTTTCTCACCCATCCGCTTTTCTCCCTGTCAAAAGGTAATCTGCTTTAGCATCCTGGGATTTGCACCGGTGCCAGTATCTTTCTAGGCTTAACTTTGCCATTGAGCTTCTCGAAATTTGCTCCAACTTTCTCCCTATTCGTGATCCTGACTGTATTTTTTTTCTCTTTCTTTCAATCTAAATTGTTGGGTTTCAATTCTGCGCATCCTCTTTATTAACTTTTCAAATTTTTTCTTCCACCGCGATATTCAGTTTGAATTTTTCGAAATCAACCTCTCGCACTCTCTGATTCAGATCGTGACATTCAAGTTTCTTTAGAGTGACACAACTGGAGAGCTCCTCTGTTGTTCTCAATAGGAAAATGGTCGCCATCTTAAGCCTGGTTAGTGATATTACTGGTCAGAATCTCCAACTAAAGAAACTAAAAGGAAAAAAAAAACCATATTTGATGATCTCTTCTTTCAATTTTTTTGCCAGGTTGAAAGATGAATGATTTCGAGGTAGAAACGCCTGGGACAGAAGAAGTAATATCCAACATGTAAAGGAAACAAGCTCAATATGTTCGACTTGAGCATTGGTGTGGTTAGAACAAAGCTGCTCACTGATAAAGCGCATGGAGAAGGTAAAACTGTTTGCTTTTTCTTTTGTTGTTGTCTGATTTGTTCTTCCTTAAAAGGATTAATTGCATTTGCATAATAAAATAATGTGATTATATGATTTTCATATTTGGAATCCTTTGGGGTTTTGCTATAATTTTATGCATTTGTTATTATTGCGATAGAAAGCTTCGGTTTTGAGTAGTTCTGTTTAATAGGATGTGCTTGAACAGTGTATTTGTGGGATTTTTTAACCAACTTTGCTCCAATTGTAATTTAAAACATCAAGTATTCTTTTAATTTACTATAAGGCTATGTAATATGTTGTTAAGTTAATATTTACAAAAGAATTGCATTTGAAGTATGGCTTGGGGGATTTACATGCATCATACAATTCTTATTTATTTAACGCCCGAAGTTTGATATTTACTTGTATAACAATTTATTATCATTATCACAACAAACATATGCATGAAAAGTTGTGTTTTACTTTAGAGATGTTAATATTAGTGATTTTTTTTTTTGCGAACATAAAGATTAGGTGTTATATACAACAACAACAACAAACCGTTATCCCACATGAGTCCTTTTCCTCCATTGTGTGTTATATTTTCATTTAAGTCTAATAAATTAAGATCATTCTTTATACAACATGCCCAAGTCTTTTTAGACCTACCTTTACGTTTTGTAACATAAGTTGAATCTACTCTCCTAACTGGATCATACGATGGCCGACGTTTATTATTACCGAATCATCTAAGATGACTCTCTCTAATCTTGTCTGCCACCGGAGCTACACCAACCTTTTCATGGATACATTCTTTTCGCATTATTTCCTTAAGTGATAGATTAGGTGATATACAAGTAAATATTAAAGTTTTTGTGTTGGATGTGTAAAGACATATGAATTAGGCAATAGGTAAAGTTGATTTGTTTTATCTTCTTAAACTTCTTGCAGAATTATGCAGCCAATTTGATCATATAAAATTTTTAGAACTTCTTCACTTTACATTGCACTTCTTTCATAACCAACTGAATGACCACTATATTTTTCCCCTCTACTGGTGCTAGATGCTCTAATTCCAAACTCCGAACTACCATCTTATGATTTTTGTGACTACAGATTTGAAGCATACATTTTATATCATTTACAATTTTTGTGGTTTTTGCATGAAATCGTTTCTCTATCAGGTTATCCAGTTCAAAATGACCAGTCTGATTTTGTGAAGAAAGCAATTAATATAATCGGTTCACAGGTATGATATGAAATGAACTGTTTTAAATTGAAAACATCCCTTAATATTTTGAGAACTAGCTAATAGATGTTCTATGTTCTATATTCAATATTATAATATGTAACTAATTAGCTATGGAAGAAAGCTGGGAGAACGAGGTTGGGTGAAACATCAATGAAGATGCTAATAGCACAGGAAATGTCTACCGCAATAGAGTTAAAGGAGAAAGCACCCGGTATTGTTGCAAAATTAATGGGCCTGAATTCATTGCCTGTCCAGCAAAAAATCCCTCCTTGCAGAAGAAACTCTCAAGAAACTGATCCACACAGCTGTCCAAGTAGAGCTCCTCAACAAGAAAGCAACTTTAGTACTCTGAAGTGCAGAACTGACTCACAAATCCATGAAAAGAAGTATAAAGATGTGTATGAAGTTCAGATGGAGAATGAAGATCTACAGGAAGAAGGAAACTATTGTAGAAACTTGACAGAGAAGAGAATGGCTCTTGTTCACCAGAAGTTCATTGAAGCAAAGCGTTTAGCCACTAATGAAAGACTTCTCCAGTCAAAAGAGTTCAAAGATGCCCTTGAGGTTCTGAATTCAAACAAAGATTTATTTCTCAAGCTATTGGAAGACCCAAATTCTCTTTTTTCCAACCAACTTAAAGACCTCCATCAAACTACTTCTTTAGGGACCCAGAGCAAGTGCATAACTGTACTGAAACCAACTACAACTACATCAATTGATATTAATCATGAAAAATTTGTGAGTAAGAACCGACATGTTGGTGGTGAAGAGATTAGGGACGTTGCTGGACATGATTTGAACTCTTGTTTTCTTCTTCCAAAGGCTGAAACTGCATCTCCACCCACCAGAATTGTGGTTCTGAAGGCTGTCTCTGCAATCCCTCACGAAGCGCAGGCCAGTTTGGCTTCCCACATTTCTTTACCAGTTCCAGAAAATAGAAACATAAGATCAAGTGAAGCAGCTAATATCTCTCATAAAATGCCAAAAAATTCTAAAAATTCACAGAAGGATGAATACCAAAGAGCTTCAGCTTTATCTAATGGATATGCTGCTGATGAGAGCTCTCTTAGCAGGTCTGAAACTGATTACAGAGAAGCTGTCAGTGACTGTAGCGACTCAGAGCTGGTGACTCCAACATCACAGAATTCATGGGTTCATATGATATCTGGAAGCCCAGGCTCCCTGTCATCATTAAGCCATGAATACTACTCGCTTGAGTCATCAGTGAGCAGGGAAGCCAAGAAACGGCTTTCAGAAAGATTGGAATCACTAACATCAGATGATATCGGCCATGAACAAGCGAAGTTGAGAAAGAGCTCAAGTACTTTGGGTGAGATGCTTGCCATTCCTGAGATAAAGAAAGAAGAAGGGAGAACTGATAGGATAATGAGTACATGTTCATTTTCAGATAGGATGCAGGAATTTAATAAGGACTCTCCTAAGAATTTTAGGAGTTCAGAGTCTCTTCCAGCTCCTCCAAACTTTGAGAGCGTCAGGGAAAATGAAAAAAAATTGCTCATGCTATCTAGCGAATCCTTTCTTCTGAAACAGGCATCAAAATTGAAAAATGAGAAATCATCTTTTAAGGATAAAGTCTCAGGTTTAATCTTTTCGGGGATGAAGAAATTGGTGAGGGTGAAGCCCAACCTTTCTACTTCAAGTGCTAATGGTAGACTTCACTTAGAAAGTGCTTCATCTGTACAAAATGGCCTACCAAAATCTTCCCTTGATAGGATATCTGATGCAAATGCTTCAAAAACCTCAGAGGACAAATTTGCTAAAGCTTTATCTTCTATGTCGGTCAGCGGTACAGAAAAGCATGGAAATGTCTCCTTTAAGGTGACTAAAATGCAAAACTTTATTCTCATACTTCACCCCTGTGGTTTAGTTTATCAATTAAAGTTTTTTTTTTTTCCTTAATTTTTGCAGAACAATCGCTCCGTTGAGAAACTCTGGAAATCAGAAGTCTTTAGAGAGAACTCCAACCAACATAATCACGTTTCAGCATTAGAGAGGCCATTTCAAGAAGAATTTCCCTGTAATGTCTCCTATTCTTCTCAACGTGCCATTACTAACAATCCCCGTGAGTTTCATACCTTACTTGCCCCTTTTTATTTACAAACTGCATGTCCTTTCATAACCCTAATTTCCACAACCTCTTACTGAATTTCAGAAGCGCTCTCCAGATCCCCTCTCATCAGTTCTGTTAGCCGCTCCTCAAATTTGGAAAACCCGCACTTTGAAACTTCACTGCCCAACTCCTTGAAGCTTTTCAGGCTTTTCTTCAAAGAAGATGAGGAGCATGAACGCTTTGATTTCATCACAAAGCTGCTTTCATCTTCAAACTTCGCCAATGAAAGCTCTAGTGCCATATTAGCCAGATTTCACTCTCTTCACAGTCCATTAGATCCAGTTTTGCTGGATGAGCTCTTGGACCGTAAGGGGGAAGAAGCTAAATGCAGGGAGAGAAGATCAAACCAGAGGCTATACTTCGATTTTGTCAACGAAACCCTAAAAGACATTTGCTACTGTACTTTAGTTGACGCATTTCCATGGTCCACAACAGCTACCAGGACTCAAAAACACGTTCAAACTAATCTTACAGTGAAAGATGAAGTTTGGTGCCGTTTAAAGGATTGCTTCTGTGCAAAGGAAACTTGTAGTTCGAGCAAGGCAGAGTACAGTAAACAAAATTTAGGTTTTTTGGTGAAGAAAGAGGTTGCTGGAAGTGGATTAGGTGAATCAATGTGGTTGGAAATGGATGAACTGAGCAAAGAGATTGGCGAAATGGTGCTGGAAGAGTTGTTTGATGCCACAGTAGCTGAGCTAACTGGCAGGTTTCTGTGATGAGTTATGTAAGCTTTTTTATCCTTTTTTGTCTCATTTTTCTTGTATATTGGCAGTTTGACACCTAATTTTTGCCATTATGAATGTGGTGAGGAGGCCAATGGCAATTGGCATTAACAGCTCATAGTATCATACATTTCTCCAGTTGTAAAACTTGTTTAGTGCCTTGGTTTAATTGTCATTTGATTTTTAACTAGTAGTCAGTAGCATTGCTTTGGTTTTATGTGGAAGTGCCTGGCTGTAAAACTGCTGCTGTGTTGATATAATAGTACTTATTGCTGATTATGACTGCAAGAACTATTTCTTTGTTGTTTTATAGAAATTTCTATGATGGGATTTTTTTTTAACCTAACTTATTAAAATACAGTAGCTGCAAGAAAATTATTAGTCTGATTTTCTTAAAATCTATATATTTATAATTCCTATCGCTGTTTAAGAGGTAGTTTACTCTTCCTAACAACTCTTTTCAATTATTAGATTAGAGTTTAATTGAAAAGCAAAAAAAGTTGCTTTCTTCTGAGCGAAATCAGCTAGCTGTCCATGAATATATTTGCTAGAGAATTGATCTCAGTTCACCTGCTCTTCAGATGTTGGCTTAGACATGGCTGAGTTGAGAAATACTTAAAAAATCAGTCAGTATCTACCAAACAGTGAGCAACAGAAACAAACATGATGAAACCAACTATAAATCAACTTTCAGAATATATGTTTTTTCATCAGAGTACTGTGATTCTGTCTGCACATGTTAACAATCATGTTGGGTGGCTGATGGCTTGCTTTATTTATATTTACATACATGCCACCCAATTCCTTTTATTTACATATTTAACACCTAAAGTTTGCATTTTTTTTTCCGCAATATCTTTCATATCACATCTCTTATTCCTTAAAACTAATGATAAAAATCAGAGGATATGTTGCGATTTCTTAAAACATTTTAATTTTTTATTTATTATTAATTTCTGAAAAGCTCATAAATTTTTTTTAAAAAAAAAGTAATTTCATTTTTATTTATTTTAATTTTTTAAAGTGTTTTTATTTCCATTGATGAGTTTAAAATTAATGATAAATTAAAGTTAAAATAAATGAAAATGTTTAATTTTGATTATATAGAGGCCTCATAGATTATCAATTAAAATGGCTCTTTTTTTTTATTAAATAGTATAAGTTAACCGAATGTCACACAATTCTTTTTTATTTATATAAAATGTCTAACGAGGGTTTGACAATTATAATAAAATTTTGAAGAGCTAAAGATCACTCAATCGAAATGTCAATTCAAATGACTCAAATCTGGCTTGTATAGCTCAAGTAATATTAAGAAAATAGTTATTTGGGTCAAATTCAGGTTAATTTTGATTAAGTTTGAGTCAAATTTAGGTTGGCAGCCATATCCAAATCAATTGTATGGTTGACATTTCAGTTTTCAGGTAAATTAAACATGTTTAGATTTTAGGGCCAGACCCATCCTCAAAATTAAGCAAATTAAACCCGAACCTAAATAATTTGAATGGGGTTCGCATCATGTTGGTATATCGGGTTCAATTTTTAATAGTCCAAAGTAAATGTTAGATAATTCCATTGTGCTAAAAAAGATTTAAGTGGCACATGAATAAATAGGATAATTTACAGTCAACATGTAAAATTTTCTTTTAAAAATACACTACTTCACTTCATGAATGCTTCCCATAAGGAACTTATGGGGCCTAACAAAAATTACACCTGTCCTATCAATGTCATGTGAGTCTTTATATATACATTCAATAGGATTTGATCAATTGTCCCAAAGAAGGAATATTAAATCTCAACAAATGTAAACTAAAAAAACTCGCCGGACATGTAGGTATGGTCCCGGCAAATGTCAGGCTACGCCTGGAGCGGATCTTCAGAGCTTGGTCCATGGAGCTATCATGACAAATAAGAACCTATCTAAATAGTAATATTTGTTTTTTTAATGCACATAAATGCTGAACACTAGGGCACATGCGGGCCATGTATTATATAGCATGAAAACTAAAGGAATAATGCATTTGTGTTCTTTCTTCATTTTATTTTCTAAAGCTTTAGATATGAGGGGAAAAAAAAAAACTATAACCTCTGCTAGAATGAAGAACACAGATCTATTTCTCAAGAAGAAATGTTATGTGTAAAAATGATGGGTATAGATTTAGTGGCATTGTCATCATGATATTCACCAGAATATCACCATAATACCACACGTTTACACACAAAACTATCAATTTGCATGTACGTTTTCTGCGCGTAATATTTCTTCCTTCCTTCAACAAATTTATGTCCCTTAATCAAATCAATTTTTTTAATATAAATTTATGTAGGTCTCATTTTTAATCAAACCAAATTTAATTTGCAAAGGACTCATTTTTTTTCTAGGGGCATTTGCATATATAGCACCCAATTCCTATATATTGACATTACTTTTTTATGGTACCACTCAATTCTTTCATATCACGTAAAAAATATCATCATTTTAACTTTTAAATGGGAAATGTGTATTTTTATGTTAGTTAGAAGTGCACGTATGTAAAAAAAATTGAAGCTTAGGTGTTAGACATGTAATTACATTATAATTATTTATAAGTGATGGAAACACTCAATAAATGGATTTGAGCTGATGGATGACAAAAAACTCATCTGATCTCAACAAAAAATTTCATAAAATTTTAGTAATAAGACAAGGAATGAATTTGTGGTCTGATGCCAGCGATAGCCAAATCTACAATGTTTCGTTCAATGGGGGATGCCCTGCTAGAACAATTTATTTCTTGAAAGTGCAATGTAGTACATCAAAAATATGTCAGTGATGCTTATGAGGAGATCTAGTGGTCCAGAGAAGAAGGATACAATTAAAGAGAGCCCCACCTATAGATGACCACAAGGCTCACTCATTCGACCGAGTGCAATCCTCGAAGCCAAAGTCAGCAAGTCTAAAGCCGGCCAAGCACTGATGAGAGCAAAACAATGAATGATTCAAGCTTGAACCCTTGATCCAAAGGAAAACATAGCCCTTCAACGTCTCTAATCATATTGGGGATATTTAGAAGCTACCACATCCATTATCAAGAGTAGATAACCATAATTGATGTGAATCAACTAGTGTTGCTTACCCAAAGCCAATAAGGCTCGATCAATTGACAATGCAAACTATGCCTAGCCGACCAAATCAGTTATGCTGGCCCAACTCCAAACAAGCTCAACCGACTCATAGACTCATACATGTAAAATACTAAACAATATTGTACATCCCTCTTAAAAGCAGGGGCAAAAATGTAATATCACCAAGCCGTACTCTCTTTCCTATAAATAGGGAGATCATTTCATGAATAAAAGAGGATTAAAGGATTAACACGACACTCCTCTCTCCTAACTTACCCTTTTACTCGTTGAGGTGTGATTTGAGGACAAATTAGGATTCAACAAATGTATTTATCAATCAGATATAATGGAATCTGGTAGCTGGTGGGAAGGTAAGCTAACCGCACCATACAATCGATCAAAGTAACGAACATATTAAAAAAACGTTTTTAATAAGAGCTCAATATACAGCAAACAGACCAACCCATAAAACTTGCAGAAAATAAAAGGCGTGCAGAGAAAAAGAACTGCTTTTTAAAGAAGCAACAGCATCCCAACAAATATGCACAGAATCCACATATTAATTCCTAGCTATTAATTACCAAACACTCATTGATCTGAGTCGTCAGCATTCTTTTTTTTTTGAAGATTTACATGCATGCCACTCAATTCCTATGTATTTATCTAACACATAAACTTAACCATTATATCGTTATATAGATTCTGGATTTGGATTCTAGTTATCATTATGTTATCATCAAATTATATAAAAAATATGATCACATTTATTCTGAAGAGATCATGACAGTCTAGAAGAGAAGAACGATAAAGAAAAGTCCACCGACATAAGACCCATAGACTCACAAAGCCGAAGAAATAGAGTCGGACGAACCAAGCACAACGAAGCCGACCAGATATATTCAGACTAATCAAGGCCTACAAAATCGACTGAATTAGAGTATTAGCCGACGCGTTGGGCTCGCACTGGTAAAATACTAAAAATATTTTGTAATGCCCTCATTAAAGGAAAGTTAAAAATGTAATATCACTAAATCGTACTCAATCCTTTGTAATATAGGGATATCATTTTAGGTGAATGGGGTTTTACGAGAAACCTAGGAAGATCTCATTAGCCTCGAGAGGGCAAGTCATTCTGCACCCCTCCCTCTGTTTCTCGTATTCTCTCCCTTCTTATGCTCTATTCCCAATTCATAGACTAATTCGGATTTAAAAGTCAACATTACAAATAGTCTTACAGAGATTATTCTGACCAAGTAAAAAAACAAATTAACAACTTTCACTATATATATATATATATATTTAACTAAAGGGCTATAAACAATTATAATTAATTAAAATAATATAATAAAATTTTATTAAATTATATTTGAATGATGTTTTAATATAAAAAAATATTTAAATCTTGTCCCAATCTTAACATCTTACGGCTACGTGATTGTGGTGGCGTCAAAATGATTATTTGTTCGTGAACAGCTCATATTCGGCTTGCTAAGCAAACGAGCCGAACACAAATATTTTTTTTTTACTTGAAATATAAACAAGTCGAATAAGAACAGTTGTATCCTTTAACGAGCAGAACACGAGCTGATCCCAAATTCACTCATGTTCAGTTCATTTACACCGTTAATGCTAACAACCTTCTCTGAAAGTTTTTAACTTTCTTATTATCAATGTGCATATGTAAGTCACAACTCTGCCATCAAATCTCTTAGTTAATCTATCATCTACTTCTCTCCTAAACTCTTAAATACGATAATTAATTATTGAAAATATTTTAAATAGAACAAGCCATCTTATTTCATAATGTATCTATCACAACTAAGAAATTTAAGTTTTTGTTGTGATTTTGAGTCTGCTGGTGTTAATCTATTGGGTTACACAAAGCCATCGAATTCATCGTTCAATCTGGGGGTAGGAGGTGACCTCCAGTATTGGGTTTGGGGATACTGCTCCTTGAAATTTTTTTTATTATACACAACTCCACAGCGCCCTGAAGACAATACTGTCACAGCCGGTACAAATTCAAATCCGAGAGCATGACACTCTAATACTCAGAGTGGAATGCTGCAGAGTCCAAATACAATGCCCCGGCACCGAGACAAGCAACTCCTAGTCCAAATTTGAAAATTCGAGAGTAAAACACTATAGAGTTCGGATGTAGCGCCGCTGCACCCTATCGCGGTGCCCCGGCGTCAGTAATCAAATTCAAGCAGTTTCCCAAATACAGCACCCCGGCATCGAGGCAAGCAACTCCTAGTCCAAATTTAGAAATTCGGATTAAAATACTATAGAGTTCAGATGTAGCGCCGCATTGCCCCTTTAGAGCGCCGCTGCATCCTATCGCGGTGCCCCGACGTCATTAATCAAATTCAAGCAGTTTGAGTTTTATGCTTCAACTTCTTTACTGGATTTTTGTGTGTTGAAGCTATATTTCAAAATTTCTCTTATGCAAAGGAGAGAAATAAATGCTATAATGAATTTCTTGATGTAGTATGATTCGATTGTTATTTCTCGTTTTTCGAACTTTTACACTTTAACTAGTAGTATGATTTCATGTTTTTTGAAGTTGGATATCTAGGTTTATCTAGTGCAAAGGAGAGGAATGGGTGCCATTGAATTCCAAAAGTCTAGAGAAGCTTGTGTGTGATGTTATTTGTACAATTCTCTTTATTTTTTATTTCAAATTTCTCGATAAAATATGATTCAATTGTTTTCATTTTTTGATTTTTTCAGATTAAATATTGATATTCTTTATAATTTGAATCCCTAAAATAGATTCCTGCCCAATATATTTGTCATTTAATATTCTCTGCTGTAAAACTTGTCTTTTTTTTTTTTTTTAATTATCGTAGACACAATCAAGTCCAAAACAAAAAAATTGGGGTGTTTACATCGAGAAATATTTGCGTACATAAGATGTACGCAGCGCTGCGTACACAGAGGTTATTCAGGGGTACAATGGGGTTATATCTGGGTTATACCCCCTTGTAACCTCCGGTATAACCCGGATATAACTCCTCTGTACCCTTAAAATAACCTTTGATGTACGCAGCGCTGCGTACATCTTATGTACGCAAATATTTCACGTTTACATCACCCTCTGGGATTTGTAGTTCACTGTACCTGGCAGCTAAGAATAGTTACAGCGTACGCGGCTGCTAAAGAGAATTTCCCCCACACGTGCCATGTCGAAACTATACAAGACCCAAACTCCTTATCCAAACCCAACTCTCTCTTGCTCTACACTGTATTTGGCACCAAAGCTATTTGTCTTGACCACACGTGCTAATGAAATCCCAACAACGATGACTCCAGTCATTATCTACATCTTTCTCTCTCTCTATCTCTTCAAATTTTAAATTAAAATGTAACATAAAATTTAGTTGAATTATGAGTTTTTAATTAATACTCTGCAATTAAAAAGTTTAAATAAAGACACTGGCGGCTCATTAAAATTAAAGCGTAAAATATATTTTTTTTTAAATTCATTTCTTAATCATAATCTCTTACAATATGACCTTATTAAATAGTGTCCAAAATCGCTTTTATACTGAAAATATAATACCAAAAAATATTATATTTGAATAATACTAAAAATAAAATAAAATTTAAAAAAAATTGAGCTTTAAATTCAACTTGAACAGAGATCGAACTAGAATTAGTGTGTAAAGGGAGGAGCGCATGAACACGTTGAATTTGAATGTATCCTCATCTTAATTAATTGGACTCGATTCTCAAGCCATCTAAGAAATTATTATTTTTCGTCGACATTTTAAAGCAAGTTGGATGTAAAATAATTCTAAATTTTAATAAAATAGTTATTGTACATAAAAAATATGTTAACATTATAGAAAGAAAAGTACGGACATGTGACGAAGACCAAAAGTCTCATCGTCAAAAGATCAAAGAATTTAATTGACTGAGTGCATATCTGAAAGATCAAGATTCGAAGCGGATCGGATGCAGGTCGTCATAGCCAAATATGGAGATCTATAAAATCGAGAAGGCATCAGCCCAACTAAATAAGATGCGTCGAGGTTTGTGTCATGTCTCAAGGTTCGTGCTAGATGTTGAAAATTTATTAATGGCATAACATTATCTATCATCTTAGTATGTGCTAAGTTTTGTGGTTATCTATTAAATTATGTTTTTTGTTTTGTTTTTTTCAAAGAGTTAAACTTAATCTAAGGATGGCTTCAAATTTAAGTATTTAATGTCTTATGGATATTTTCTTTAAATTTTAGGCTTTCATAATTTAATTTGATTTTAGTGTTTTAAAGAGTATGGTTAATATAAAACATTTGAGCAATCAAATATTTAAAGTATGATTGATGAAAACTGCAAGACCTGCATCCAATCGAAATAATGGGCTCCATATGAGGAATCCATCAAGCATAAAATCACTCACTTCTAGCCTCATTAATACATTTTGATATTGAAAAAACGATCAGAAATCGAATGAATCAATAAGAAGTGCTATGGGACTTTACCAAAACTTTCAAAACGTCATTAAAGAATAGTATGATGAGATATAAACTTGACAGCGGAGAGAGTTGAGAAAGTTGAGATTAGAAGAGCTCTGCTCAACAATTGAGATTAACGAACATGTCATCCTCTCATTAATAATTTTTTATGCAATTACATATATATATATATATATATATATATATATATATATATATACACACACACATACATATATAAATGATAGAAAAGAGTTAAATGATATAAATGCAAATAATAATAATAATAATAATAATAATAATAATAATAATAATAATGAGGGTTAGATATTGTTAGGTATAGCTCATATACCAAATAAGGGAGAGATGCTGGAGCGGAACGAAGCGAGCGAGTGGAGCAGAAGTATCTGTCCAATTGAAAGAGTTTTTCGTTATGTGGGTTGAGGGTGTGGGGGCAACACCGTCGCGGCACAATACATGAGTAATTTTGTAATTGCATTATATATATATATATATATATATATGTATGTATGTATGTATATATATGTATGTATGTATATATATATATGTATGTATGTATACTCTTTTTCATGAAATCTAAAGAAGTCATTGATTTGCTCCCGATGAAATAGGCAAATTGCATAGCCTCGTTAAATCTCTATGTTTTCTTATTGATTTGTGTCGATTATTTTGTTTATTTTGTCCTAATTCCTCAACAGATATATATGTAATACAGTGTATGTCATGTATGGATGTTAACAATCTAATTTAGATTCGAGCTAAAATTCAAATTAATTTTTGAGCGATAATCTTCTAGCTAAATTCACTTAATTCACACGCATAAATTGTTAACAATCTGGATTTCAGTCGAGCTGATGTTGGCTCAAAATAGGCTCGAAAAAATTTTGATCTAAAATTTTAGCACGCAACTCAATTAATTTATTTCAATCCAATATAAACCCAGAGCCAAAATTTAAAATAAATATAAATCGATTAATGTTCTTCGAGCTAAATTCACAGCCCTCTTGTCATGCACGTAAATGGCCCTTAAAGCCATGATGAGATCATTGCTGAGATCAGTCATGGAAGCAATGCAATGACATGAAAGCTTAGTAAAATAACGCACTTATCCATTGCGCCCTTCATCTTACTTGTTCCCGAAGCACGCAAACAGCCGCCATCCGCCATGCAAAGAATCTAGCAGGGATCGCATTCATTGCATCATCGCACGAATCTTGATGACCCTCCTTGAGACATTTGGATCGGCCCAATGCCCCAATTTGTGACCCGGCCCAGCTTGGATTGGAGGCAGTAAACATAAAACAGAGGACATGTCCCGACCAATTTTCTTTGTTGCTGTGGACGTATTTGATGCTTGCCACGTGTCCTCAACCCATGAAATAAATCTTGTTACACAAATGAAATAAACTATGTAATATTTTAAAAACATATAATTAAACATTATTTGTTGATGTCACCGCCTCGTCACATGTAGTGCTATCTTGCAGTCGGCTATTACCATGAAATCAAACATGATTGATATCCCATAAATGTAAAATCATACAGATAGGAGCAATGGAATAATATCAACTTTTTATGAAGGTTAATAATGATAATAATCAAATTCATCTCTTTCCTTACTATTGCCCAATAAAATATTTATATCACCAATAAATCTAAACTAAATATTCTTTGTTCATTTCTGTTCGGAATATGTCGGATAATAATGAAGTTAAGCCCACCTCATTAAATAGAAGAGCATTAATAAATTTAACAAGAAATGTGCTGAGACAAAATCGATATTAGATTACATGAATCTCATCTCAAAATAAATTCAATAAATTTAAAATATATAAACATTAATATATTGGATAGACCAGCCCATTAAACAGCCCGCATTAAACCTGACCCGCCCAGCCCAATTGACACTATCTTCTACGTTCATGGTTTCCTTCCTCCCACCAGCCACACCACATATACCCTTCTTCAACGTGTCACCCCCCGCCATCCGAACTCGTGGAACAGACCTCCTCGTCCCATCTGTACTCACACCCGCCCATCACCCCCTCTTTAAATCCCCTTCCCCCCACCTCTCAAACACACAAACACCTTCTCCGCATTCAACCTCCTCCCATGGCAGCCATGCCCGATCCAGCCGACAAGAAGCGCAAATGCTGTCCCCTGCGTCGATCGAGGAAAGGTTGCATGAAAGGAAAGGGCGGACCCGAAAATCCCTTCTGCACCTACCGCGGCGTCCGGCAAAGAACTTGGGGCAAATGGGTCGCCGAGATCCGCGAACCTAATCGTGGCGCTCGGCTCTGGTTGGGAACCTTCGATTCATCCCTCGAAGCCGCGCGCGCCTATGATCTCGCCGCCCGATCGCTTTACGGAGACTGCGCTCGCCTCAATCTTCCGCATGAATTTCCCTCCGCCGCAGCGAAGCAGCAGCCGGGGAGATCATCGAGGTCGGCGGCGGGGGCTGGGTTGGATGATTTGGATGAGTATGTGATGAGTTTACCGAAAGCGGAGGATTTTGGTCTGGATGCGTTTCGGGAGATTCGGATGGAGGTGGATGGGGATTTTATGGAAACGGCTCAGTTGTCGTGGGGCTCTTGACGACGACGGGTCTGGGTGTGGTGGTGAAATTTGATGGAAAAATATAAAATGAGCACGGTGCGGTGGAATCCAGACCGTCATCTATTGTGTGTGTTTGTGTGTGTGTGTGTGTATATATATATATATATATTGAAAAAAGCTTGTCAGAGATGATTATACGGGCCTCTATAAGATCGATCTTGTGACCCTAGGAGTCATACAAACACTGACAACCAATATATATATATATATATAGGAGCCGGGGGATTCCAACCGACATGATTGATCCGGTGACACTAGGAGTCACACAAACTTCAACAATCAATATATGTGTGTGTGTAATGTATATATATATGAGAAAATATAGTGGAGTTCAGTCTTCGTACGATTTACTGATGATTATATCATGTATCATATTTGGTTTGTGGTATCAGATTTGGTTTGTAGTCAAATTTTGAGAGGATAAAGTTTTTGGTCAGAGTTTATTTGAATATAAATGATACTCTATTAACCAGTGAGAATTTGATAAATATGAATGAGAGTAGTTGATTTGTGAAGAAAAATGTTTCAAGTGTTAAATTTTATTTTATTATCTTTAATGAGGAGCAATTGGGACATGATTTTTAGATTCTTTATTGAGTTGTTAATTCTTAATCCTTAATGTGGAGCCTCGGGGCTATCTGTGGGATAGTTGGTGATATTTGAAAATTGTTTCTCTTCTTGAATCGGATTTACCAGAAGGTAGGCTACCATGTATTAGGTTGGTTTTCTTATAATGGTTGGTTTGGATGCCTATTTGTCTAGTTTCTGTCCCAATGGTTTGGCTTGGGTACTTGTTTGCCCTTGTGTTTTTCTCATGGATCTATCTGTTTTGGCTTTGGCTCAGATGACTATATTTGATCAGATAAATGAGCCTTCGAGCCTTTTATTGGCGGGTCCTCTTTTGTAGTACTCTCCTCTAAGTCGTTAGATCTTCTTAGAATCAGTATTGACATGTTTATTTATGTATATATTTTAATCCACCGGCTATCTTCTTGAAAATGACGTTGTAATAAGATAAGATAATTTAATGTAAAAGGCATCATTTTTTTTAATTAATGATTCAACAATTGAACTCTCTTGATTTTTGTGCCTTTAGTCCTTATAAATAAGGTGTGACGGGACTATTTGACATTCAATATTTATTTTGCATCTTTTCTCATTTGAACGGGTCAATACCCGAGCGTTATAATGGATAGTTTATTACCCAAGTCCCCAACAAAGAACTGTTTACCAAAAGAGCGCTACCACATGGAATTTGAAAAGAAGAAAATTGTTGTTAAGAAAAGAAAAACGATTGCACTTGTGGATCACTTGGGGTTGTCTGATTCATTCCTCAGTACCAAGTGAAGGAAAGTTTGGGGGCATCAATGCGTCAACTCATCCTTTTACTATAGCACAAGACATGTCGATTGAACTTGTTGCATAAGAAGTTGTTCTCTATCGCAAACAAGGTTGCAGAACGTTGTTAGTGCTCCGTCGCCATCTAGTGAGGGAACCATGTAAGTTATGTTGTTTGAGTGGGATCGACTATATATATATGTTTTCTTTTGATGCAGCTAGTCTGATAGACCTGGTTGATGACTCGCCTTCAACAAATGTTGGTGAGAATTCGACCGCGTTGTCAGCGATGGCTACCTAGGAGCCGACAAGAAGCACACAACTCTTTAGCAAGGATGGTGGGATTAATAGCCTAAGCAGTCTTGATGCAAATGATAGCATGGATGCAAATAATTGTGGGTCAATTACTAGATCTCGTACAAAGAGGGTGAAAGAAGCTCTTAATGGATTAGTCCAGGAGGCTTGGATTCAAGCCAATTCATGGGGTTCTAAGGAAAAAGAGCCACAAAGATTTATCAACTTATTCCAAGCCCAAGGATAAATGAGTCAAATTATAATAGTTGGATATTTTGTATTTTTATTGTGGTTTAATAATGACTTGCATGCCAACTTGATGTAGTTTTCATTTGTTTTAGAAGATATTTTATCTTCTCTTTTGTTTTCTTGTAAGCTTTAGCCTATTTATAGGTCTTATGTTAAATGAGAAGGGGACTTCTGATTCTTGCCAAAAAAATAACTTGCATTTGGGTTGTCTCCCACGATTTCCTTAGGATTCCAACGGAACTCTAGGTCATCGCCTAAGGAGTTCTTTCCCAACTTATAAAGCGAACTTCCACCCCGTTTGTGGTGTCTTCCATTTTACCAAGATTCTTTCCTCACGTCAAGCATAGGGTTGCGGTCTTATGCCAACGTTCTTGTTTGCGTTGAGCATTGGGTCATTGTCAAGGTTTACCTCCATCCATCCATTTTATCGCAGGTTCTACCTATAATTCGGTTTGTTCCAGTCATGGACGGTTTTATTATTTGGTTTCTTACATCACATAAGAATTTCCATCAATTCTTTTCGGTTTTGGCATGCACATCCGATTTTCTAATAAGAACATCAATCCCCACGATCCTGTTTTGCATATATGCACATCAAGTCTTCATGAGACTTGCGGGGAAGTAACTAATGGACATCGAATATCCCCAGGGTCGTTGGCCCGCCTCCTATATGAAATTGATAACTCCTTTCCTAGACAGTCGAAAAGCCCTTCTCATAAATTGATAACTTCTTTTGATGCAGCTCCGTACTACGGCCTCTACGGTCTATGGATGTCATCAAAACTCACCATTGTGTCGTACATGACCAATTGCGACCTATGTGGTCCAGAGTCGTGCAGCTCCTGAACCTGGCCTATGTGGCATTGTGGCCTACAGACATCATCACAGCTCATCACTATGACCTACGTGACTAACTACAGCTTATAAGGTACACAGCTCGTGCAACTCTTGATTTTGGCCTATGTGACCAACTACGACCTATCTAGCTCATAGCTCATACAGTTTCCTACCACGATCTATGTAGGTCATTTAAACTCTTGAAGCAACCATTTGCGGCCCACACAACCAACAACTACCTGACGTTCAACTACGAATTATTGACAGGTTGGAGCTACATCCACCATTTACAACATCTACGACAAATTTTTGCATCTATAACAATCGACTATAACCCTCGTAGTCTGTTCATCGAAAACTATATTCATTACAATCAGACTATCACAATTATCAAAGAAATAATATTGTACATTTATAATGAACATCCTTGTGATTCCATATTCCTTAATTTAGTAAAAAATGAGCATGTGTACTAACCATTTATAGTGGATTATCTCAACTGGACTAAGCCCCATGACTTTTTCCCTATTCACAGGATTTTCAACATAAAAAATTGTGTTCTCTTCATACTCACTTATCTTTAATTATGTAAGTGTGTGCAGGATTTTCGTGCAACACTAAGACGAGAACTCATTACCCTAAAACTACAGACCTTTCGACACACACCAAAGCTTTTGGTGTGAGTTTATTTCAATATAAATAATACTCGAAATATTGCTAAAATTTCAAAAAATTCAAAATTTAATTGTGATCATCAACTTACCCATAAAATAAAATATTTAAATTTATTCATATCTCATATGAGACAGCTGCACGGCTTCATTCTTATGAAATAGGGACAATTACTTACAAGTACTCGAAAATATTGATATCTATCAAGCAAATATAGAGATGATCTTACGAACTACTAAACTGATGCATTTACATAAGTCACTGTCCCATCACTAACAACTTGATAAAAATGAAAAATATGAATTAAAATTTATGATGAATTTTGATATTTGAGTTAGAATTCAAAAATTTTATAAAAGAGAGCGTTTGATTCATAAATAATAATATTTCAAGTGTTCTCTAAAGAATTTATTATTTATCGTACTTTGTTTCAATCATTTAGAGCGATATTTTCTCTTCTTTGCTAAGCATCTCATTTCTTTCCCAAATCATTCCCAAACGTCCCCTTCCACACAAATGGACGCCGAAACTGACATCACCGCCGCCGCCCCGGCCGGAAAGGTACCTCAATCGCCGGAGCCTCATCTGTCGGACGATCAATGGGGCCGTCGGGGATGGGAGCTTCTTCAGAAGCTTCGATCACGAGCCCCATTAATCCAGTGCATAACAAACTTCGTCTCAATGGATCTGATGGCCAATGTCCTTCTCGCCATCGGTGCATCTCCGGCGATGCTTAGTACGTTGACTGAGATCTCCGATTTTACTCCTGGCGTCGACGCTCTCTGCATCAACATTGGAACCCTCTCCGAAGACTGGCTTGTTTCGATGACCGCTGCCGCCGCAGTGGAGGCCGGCCGGCCATGGGTTCTCGACCCTGTCGCCGTATCTGCGTCTGATTTTCGGATGGAAGCGTGCATCAGCCTCCTTGAGCTTCGGCCGGCGGTGATTAGAGGTAATGCATCGGAAATTCTAGGGCTGGCTTCGGGGAGTAGGATACGAAATAGCAAGGTAAGGGATCTAATCAAATAGCATATTTTTGGCACTCAACATAAAAAAAAAATAATAATAATAATAATAGTAATCCACCAATACATGTGCCAGTGAAAATGTTTTGTTAAGACAACACTTAAGAGCATTGGATGCACTGTTATTGATGTATCAATTTTATTAAGATGACAAAGCTATCTGTCTAATATATTTGATTTGATTTCATTACATTAAAATGTTTCTACAATTCTTACTAAATGCCTTTCCGATTTGGCTGACATTTAATGCCACTAAAAATACTGTATGATTGTAATTTTTTTAAATGTTAATTGAATATATCGATGAATCAAATAGTTTATATTTTACAATGTATAACTTTACATTGTATATATAATATTTAACCTATAACCTCTAGATATATTGTTTGGTTATCTTGAAGAGATCCTTATTCTGTGGATTGTAGGTAATACAAAAATTAACTAATTTTATTATCTTGAACGCTATTTTGTACAACACTTGGATGAAATTTTTTAAGCTACATTTATTTGAAGTTTAAACTAAGGTCTATGTGACTTTAAGTAAAATGTGATAATTTATTGGCATTTGATATTCTCTTCATCATCATTAATCTTATCCACAATATTTGATATCGACTTGAACTTTATGAATCTCATGCTTGTGCTGTTTCTACTAAGCTCAAGATTTATTGTTAAATCTATCTCTAGAAGAAAATGGTCAAACTTTGATGATTTTTTTCGTCGTCGATAGCAAGTAGAGAATTGCTACGGAAACAAACAGGAGCTCCAAATGGGTTTACCGATGGATATTTCATTGTTTAATCATAAGAAATCATAGGAATTCCATTGAACATAACAAATTTTGTTACATTTCTATGGAATTTTCAACACAATTACTATAGGAAACCAAGTGATCAATGGAATTTCTTGGAAAATTGATGGATTTTTTTTTTAGTAAACTAAGTTGTTAGAAAATTTGACCGGATTTTCATAGGAAACTGATGCAATTTCCATCACAAATTTTGTAGCTCTATGAATCCATTGTATAAACTAACTCATTCCATTTTTTAAGTTCCTTCTTCACTCTGCTGGCGTCTCTCTCTTCTTGCTTTATGTTCGGTTGTGGCCCTCTACCTCGTTCTATTTTTGGTGGTATCCATCCATCCTTTCTTTACATGTTCAACAACATTCCTCCTTTTATTCATGGACTTTGAGGATTATTTTGTGGGTGAATATTCAATCATAGAAATATTTGCAGAGACGATGATTAAATTTCAACCAAAATAATGAGGCTGAGGGAGAGGAGTGGAAAGAGGAGGAATGGTAGTGATAATTTTTTGCTGCTTTTGTTCTTTAATTTTTTATATTATTATGTATTGAACTTCTTATGCAATAGATAGATTATGATTTATGTTAATATTTGTCTTTCTATTATTTTCTATTGAATAGTGCATAAATTAGCTAGTGATCCTTCTATTATGTGAATTTTTATTGAAAGATTTATTATCACACCGTGATTTCTACACAACTTTGCTATTTTTGTGGGTTTATAGGCTGTCGATAGAAATTTGACAGAGCCAGATTGTGTCATAGCATCTATCAATGGGTATTTCGCCAATAAATCTTTTTAGACCAAATTTTCATAGAAAATTGACAATTTTTAAAGAAAATTTCTTAGAAAATTGGGCTGCTGATATTTTTTTTTTAGAAAACTAATTCAAAAGGTGGTGTTGACTAACCTAAGAGCGGAAGCCAAAGCTATTCATGTCAAGGTTGTTGTTCGTTGACAAATAATTGCCGTCGGGTATCAATGGAGATGGACAAAGAGGAGAAGTGGGTCCATTAGAACGGCCAACAAATAATTCAAGAGATTGTTATGATAATGATAAACTATTAAGCTAAAGTTAAATGATGATGAGAGAACAATCACATCAAAACTTCAAACACGAGACATAAATTTATTTGCTTCAATGCGATTCACCTACTTCCACAAAAACAAAGAAGTCAACATTAGTAAGTTTCAAAAATATATAGAGAGATTGTACTTTATGTGAATAAAAAAAAGTTACCAAGTAGTTGTTGTGAATATGAGTGTTGAACATAGAGAAAATGTGTTAATGCGTCTCATTCTCTTCTTGTTTCTACTGAGAGAGGTTTTTCATCTATTCAATTCTTCTTTTTCTCCTTTCTATTTGTAATCTCCATTCTACTTTTTTATAAGTTTCCATTTAGAATTTTATGTTAGCTTTCATCTGCAACTTTGTAGTATCCTCCATTCAAGAATTTAAGGCAATAATCATTTACCTTTTTCATGTTATTAAAGGGAGCTTCTCTTTTCAATGATTAAAAAAATTTTCAATTCGCACTTAACAATCCCTCCTGGTGTGTGAATTTCTAATGTATTAGCTTAGTGATTGTGTTTGAACAATTCTCTGTGTTGATCATAGGGATTAAATGAGCATTTATTAAATCTCAATGTTTCAGTCCATATCACTTTTGTCAATATATCATTTTTTCGCTCCTTAATTTTGTAAGTTATAAGTTTTTATTTTCAAGCAAGTTGTGTATATAATGTTTCTAGAATAATATGCCCTTTATTCGGAAGTGAAAAACGGCGTTCTTTGTTAGAATTATAGTATTTTGGCTGTTACAAAAAGAGTAACATCTTTTTAAGATAATTTTTTTCTCTAAAAAAAGCATTTAGCCAAATGGTTTATCATTTTTTATTTGGACTTTGGCGATTGCCTCTTATTATGCTTCTGTGGTTAATATTGAAATTATATTTGAAAGTTGCGACACCCAATGTGATGCCACCGAAAGTGTGGATGCACCTGATGATACTTCTCTTCTAAAAGTCTCCTCCTAAAGTAGAATCAACACAAGCTTGCAATTTTCTTTTAAATCTTAGGTAATGATTGTTCATGCCTTTTAAATAGCATAATAATCACTTCTAAGCTTCTTAATATTATTTTTTTTGGATTCAACATATGTCTGTTAACTGCTCCCATTGCAGATACATTATTTGATATATAAATATACACAAGAGATTCAATGACTAACACATAAAAGACTTGATCATGTGCACTTTTTCTTCTTCAATTTTTGAGTCCTTGTTGTAATCTATTCTTATCCTAAAATTTTTTCTCTTCTCCAAAATTTCTATTATTATTATTATTTTCTTACTATTGTCTATACAAACCATTGATCGGATGAATATCTAGCCCTATAATCAACATGCAATTTCCCTATTTGTTTTACATTGCAACAATAATCAGCATTATGAATGCAAAATTTGATCTTCTCTACGAACCCATGAAGTTTTTGGTAACATTGATGAGATGCCTATTTTAAGCCATGAAGTTTTTTTATTTAACTTATCGAGAAGGCATTCTTTTCCATGCCTAATAAAGCTTTTTAGTTTTATCATGTAAATTTCTTCTTTCAAATCACCTTTGGGGATATCCATTTGTTCAAGTTATCAATCTTCTACTACTATATTCTTAATATTAGACGAATTATCATTAGTTTAACTATAGGAGGGATCATCATATTGAAGCATATAGCTTTTCTGTTAAAAGCCTTTGAAAGTAATAAACTGAAGAAGAATAGCTGTTAGTCGCTTTGTTAGTTTTTTATGACAATCTTACTTGAGTCATTGGTGTTGTAGGTTTAGGCAACCCTTGGGGTTCCTGACATTTTTTGTCTTTTCTTTGGGAAAAATGCCTCCTCTAATTTAATTTACTCTAGAATGGAGATGTCTTCTACAATAATGTTTATCTTATGTTTATATAATACAAATTCCTTTAAAATAATATTTATAGTTTTACTAATTTTATTATTATAACTATTTCAAGATTGTATTTAAAATAATCTCCACTCCATCGGCTTAAATTGCAATTTTTGGATTTTGAATCAAATTTATCTCTAATAACTTGATCAACATAAACATATGGTGAGGAATAAAAAACTTTCAAATGCAATAAAAATGGCTCTTTTCTTATCTGGGCTTCCTTATGAACATTATGGAGTGCAATTGTCGATCTCCATTGATAAGATACAATTTTATATTTATTGCATCTGCGGCTTTTTAATGATATGGCATGCAATTTCATGCCCCTTACACATTCATTGAGCTTATATTCATTCTTTTAGCTACTCCATTTTATTGTGTTTCTCGATCGTTCTCTCTTAATGAATTCTAAGGGCAATGCCATAATTTTGAATACTATAAACTTACGCTACCCATCATTATTTGATTTCAGGTTCATGATTTTATCTCTAACTTTATTTTCCACCAAATTCGTCTATTTTATTATAATAAACACATAACCTAACACGCCCCTGATTGATGCATACATTGTTTGCACAACACTAGCAGAATATGTCTACTATTGTCTGAGGTGGAAATGCATTTACCCACCACTGGTCAATACTCTTCAGTCGACTCAAAGATTTGTGATCTAAATTTCATAATCGTTGTAGATAGTATGGTGCCAACTCACCCCTTAATGTTACTCTCTCGTCAGTATAGCGGTTAGTAATATAAATTACATAATTGTTTGAGATGGTAGGAAAACATCTACGGGCATAGGTACAATGACGTCCTCAGTCAGTATCATTAGATGGCGAACTCTTCCTCTTAACATGCATATACAAGTATTCATGTATACAATATTTTCATACTTCATAACATACATTAATTCATGGATAAACCATTATGCAACTATTTGTGCAAAAATGTTATTATGCACACTTCTAGCCTAAAGATATAAAGACATCACTGGTAGTCTAAGTCTCAATGAAGTAAAGCCTAAGGGTCTATTTGAGACAGCTTTCTGTCTGCTTTGTTTTTCAGACCACCACCACAATTCTATTTGGAGAACTATTTTCTTGCTATTCTTTAGAAATTTTTGTGGTAGAAAGTTTGAAGTAAAGCCTAAGGGTCTAAGGGTCTATTTGAGACAGCTTTCTGTCTGCTTTGTTTTTCAGACCACCACCACAATTCTATTTGGAGAACTATTTTCTTGCTATTCTTTAGAAATTTTTGTGGTAGAAAGTTATTTTTTTCTACTCGAGTTGTTAAAATGTGATGGTTATTAGAAAGTTGCGGCCTAAATTTTTTAAAATAAAATAATTTTGTAATAGCTACCGTAGCTTTTTGAAAAACAATTTCTTCTGTAGCAGCTTCACAGCTGCTTCTTCAAGCAGTCGCAACTACCCCAAACAGGCCTTCAATGTTAAAAATTAAAATCAAGAATACAATTAGGAAGTAAGAAATGTTACTGTAATAAACTTAATTACTCACTTTAAACTTTCAAAGACTTATCTAAAAGCTAAAATGTACAACATTTACCTCCTCTTTCACTCTTGTTGAACTTTTCTCAATCACAAGTATTGCTGAGATGATAATGCTTAGGTGGATGAGCGGCTTAACACTTAAAAATCTATGTACAGGGAGTCGACAGCTTGCATCAATCCTCTGATGCTTTGGAAGCTGCAAAATCTCTAGCTAAATCCTGTGGCGCCATTGTTGCAGTATCAGGAGCTGTCGATTACATAACAGACGGCCGTATGGTTGTGGGCGCCCAGAATGGTGTCGCTATGCTGCAGAAGATCACCGCAACCGGCTGCGCCGTCACCGCCCTTATCGCCGCCTTCATCGCAATTGAACAATCGAATATTTTAGAGGCAACTGCCTGTGCACTCTCCATCTTTGGGGTTGCAGCTGAGTTAGGCATGGAAAGGGCTACAGGACCAGCATCTCTTAGAACGCATTTGATAGATTCTTTGCATGGGCTTGATGAGCATTTATTGATCTCTAGAATGAGTATATCTAGGTTTTCTTAACGGCTACAAAGTACTTGACCTGAATCTAAAGTTGAGTTCCCCTTTTTAATCTCATGTGAACAGAGAGGTGTTACTGTCGTTATTATCCGGAAGTGAAAATGTCATCCAATTGTGTACTTGAACAATAAATTTATTATGTCTTCTAATTGCGATTATTGATCTGCTTTTCCATGTGATAGAGACCTAAAGCACCCTACAAGATATAGAGGAGAAAAAGCCTTTCAGAATATAGTAGCTGAAAATTTTCGCATCACACAAGTTATACCATTTAGAAGAGCACCTAAAGATTCATATTTACATAATAATAATAATAAATAAATAAATAAAATTAAGTAAAACAAAATTGTGGCAACTTTTTGGTTACGTAGCACATTGGTTATTATACACAAAGTGAAAAAACCCTATGTGCTGGGTTAATTGGAGGGTAAACGAGCTCAGGTTTAGCGACTCATTCAAAATTAGCTCGTGAATAGTATATTCGCGTTGGACTCGGATAATATTTTCTTGTTCATGTTCTGCTTTCAAGAGCAAATTTTATACAAAAGTTCAAGGCATTTATTCTAAAAAAAATTACAATAACAAATTTCATATTTAAATTATTTTATAAAAAAATTATAAAATAAGAACAAATTTATTATAAATTTTATAATTTGCAAACTAAACAAGAGTTAAAAAAATACGATTAAAATATAGAATAAAAATCAAAATCTAAAAAAAATTGAATTGAACATTTTATTTTGAAATTTACATTTCATACACAATCTTATGCTTTACATAAAGCTAAAAAATTTTTAAAAAAAAAACATTAAATTTAAACTCCAACTTTGACGATCCAATAAATAGTGATATAATACTAAAGCAGATAATAATACTAAAGCAGTTTTATTACTTTACAAGTTAGAAGATAATAATACTAAAGCAGTTTTATTGTAACAATACTAAAAACTGGGGACACTAACATACATAGAAGACAATCCTTGTGTATTTATATCACTCCTAAACTTTTATATTTACACACATAGCACTCAAATCTTTAATATCACATCAAAGATCGCGCTATTATAATCCTCCATTATGGTTTGCATAAGTGTTGCTTGGGGGTCCGCATCAGTCGTGTACATGTCATTTTAATATAGATATGAATCATATCTAGCATGCAAATAGAGAGATGTCCAAGGTATGGTGAGTGTAATTTTCCTAAAAATGTGACAACATCTACATAGAGAATGTGAGACTAGTTCTAAAAATGTGACATCTGCATAGAAAATTAGACTAGTATATGAAATGATAGTCATGCAATGCAATGCAATTGTGATGTTTCACATCAATCTCTTTGAACAAAGCTTGTTCTCTTTTTTTTAGAAACAAAGTCATCCATAAAAAAAAAATATCTAGACGCAGTAGCCAAATCACAACACTAACGCTTATACCTGTATGAATCACCACACAAATGTACAATAGTCGAACTAAATTTCTCAACAAAAACCTTATAGAGGCCTCCAAGCAAGAGATAACACCTCGGCAGCCAAACAAGCAACCAAGCAATGCCGAGCAATCGACTATCCGAGAAGAAATAGAAGATATTAGAAGAAGAACACAAATTGCAAACCCTAAGCTCTTACGGCCGAAACGATGGATGGATGGATGGATGGATGGATGGAAACAGTTTGCAAACGACGAGCCAATTTGACAGCCCTACACACAATTCTTATGTATTTACATACCTCACACCTAAATTTCAGTATATACAAACATTGCACTTTGATGTTTTAAACCTATGCATGAAAAGACGCATTGATACATCAGTACAAGGACCATTCAGAGTCGGTTGAAGAAAAAAAAAAAGAAAAAAAACAAACTATAGTGTTTGTTGAGATAAAATGTGTAATTCTTTATTATTTTGGAGATGCAAGTACAAAGTTCTCTTTTTCTACCTTCCGTGGTTCCAATAGTGTTTCTTTTTTTTTTTTTGGCGGATTGAGCATGCAAAAGGTGCAGGATTACTCATCTGGTTTTCAAGAATAGAAATCGAAGCATTTTAGGATTCAATCATGTCTCCTTAGCAATAGAAGATAACAGAAAAAATTTGAGCATGGTCAAATCCACATCATTAACATATTGGGAGCATTTACATTCACACCGAGTGGACGATAGTATGCCTAGACTCAACGTGGAAGGGGTTATAGTAATGAAGGACAAAATGATTTTCAAGAGGGTCAAAAAGCCAAATTGCCCTTCCATATAAGTAAAAATCTAAATTCAGAGGGTAGGTTGCCATACGGCTGGATGCGGTTTAAAATTAGTGTAATATAATATTTAGAAATTAGGTATTTTAATTTGAAGAAAATGAGGTCAAACTGATATATTTGATTTCTACAGTTTGAATAATCGAGCTAACCACGAGTAATGTATCACCATAAAAGGTAATACACTACTTGATAATAAGCTCAATTAAATAAACTATAGAAATAAATGACTTACGATTGATCAACAAGTTTGCATTATGACCGACAGATTCCCCTATTCAATATGGGAGAAATAGAATTTATTTTAAGTCTAGGTTTTTTAAGTTCCCTATAAGGGCAAACAGATCACTTAAGAAAACTTTCGATAAAAATCAGGAATATTTTGTTTTCATGAGTTCAAAATGAAGAGTTTTCAACGAATATGATTATAAAATCTTCATTAGAGATTGGTTCAAAGGTGAAAAATATTATTTTAAGAATCAAAGAAAGAAAAGTAGGGGAGATTAAAGATCCAAAATAGGTTATTGGTAATCAACCAAACTATTTTAATGTTTGGTTCGATTTAGGACGATATTAATTTAAGTTAACTTTTCACAATTTTATTAATTATGGCTTAAATTTGTGTGATGATGAATTACATAAAAAATCTAGAATGATAAGAGGTTTTATGTTGAGTGACTACCTCAGAATCTTAAAACAAGTTCGGACATGTTGTATATCGAGACTATGCAGAAGCATAAAAAAAGAGAGATTTTATGTCATAAAAGACAGCATCGAAATCCGAAGAATTGTTATTTAAACTAAAGAAAGGGTCTTAAACGAGCTGCCCGAGCTGCCCACGAAGTCTGCCCCAAGTTCCATACTGAAATGTCTTCAAGTCTTTAAGTCTTCAGGTCCTCCAATCATATTATTAAAAGTTTTATTTGTTTCAATAATTTTATATTGAATTAATTAAAGGATAATGGAGGTATATATTATAGTGACTAGTGATTATTTATCCTAAGAGTAGGTGATTATCAAACTTAAACCAAACTTAATGTTGATAAGCCCACACCTTAGAATTAGTCATCCTAAACCAATAAGAATAGTTAACTTAAACCCTAGGTTAGTTAACCCTAAAATAATAAGATTAATTAACCTAAACCGTAGGTTAGTTAACCCTAAACAAATAAAATTAGTTAGCCTAAATCTTAAGTAAGTTAACCCTAAACCAACAGGATTGGTTAATCTAAACCCTAGGCTAGTTAACCCTAAACCAATATGATTAGTTAACCTAAACCCTAAGGCAGTTAACCCCCTAAACCAATAGGATTAGTTAACCTATACCTTAGGTTAATTACCCCTAAACCAATATGATTAGTTAACCTAAACACATGTTAGTTAAACCTAAACCAATATGATTAGTTAACTTAAACCTTATGTTGCTTAAGGATAGTTAACCCTAAATAAATATGATTAGTTAGCTTAAGCCTTAGGTTAGTTAACCCTAAACCAATAGAACGTAAACCTTAGGTAATTAACTCCAAACCAATATGATTAATTAATCTAAACCTTATGTTAGTTAACCCAAACCAACATATTAATTAACATAAATCTTAGGTTAGTTAATCCCAAACCAATAGGATTTAGGATTAGTTAACCCCAAACCAATAGGATTAATTAATCTAAACCTTACATTAATTAACCCTAAACTAATAGAATTAATTAACATAAACCTTAGGCTAGTTAGCTCTTATCAAACCCTAACCTTTAGGTAAAACAAACCTAAATTATAGTTTAGTTTTAAGCTAAACTTACCGTAAGTCTGAAGTCAAAACCTAACCCATAGGTTAAACATAAGAAACCTTTTTTTAGGTGTAATCTTGAAACTAACTTAAACCTAAACCCCTCGACTTGAACATTAATTAAAAGATAAAATAAAATATATTGGGACGGGTAAAATTTACAAAAAACATATTAAAACTTAAAATTAAAATAAATCAAATGTAACAAGGCTTTAAAGCATGACTTTGAGGTTAAGTCGGCTTCAAAGTAGTCAAACTTATACAAATAATAACAAGTGAACAAAACAACACAAATAAAACACTTAAAATCTGACAAAAAGATATAAACAACGCAAAATACTTCAACCTTAAGATCGACTAAGTAATTCAAAAATTAATCAAATATTAATCACAATGATCACATAACTCAACTTAAACCCTTTTTCGTTCTAGTTTACGAAGATTCTTTGGACGATGCATTCTGTAGATGTTGACAAGAATTTTTCAAGCCTGATGGGCAACCACCTTTCGGACTAAGTAAACTAGGGCACCCAACGACCCGGGACGACGGAGCCATAGCATCTTAACAGGATTACCACTAATTAATTTATTAAATTTAATAACTAATCTAATATTGTTTATTTTCTTTATTTGCTCTCTTAAATTACAATGTATGTTCTTTTACTGCTTTCATCAAACATAAAATGCATGTGTTAATGACAAATGATAAAGGAATAAAAGTTATTTAGATTAGGGAGAATGTAAAACTCATAACACTAAAAAATTAGTTAGCTTAAGTAAACTTAGCATTGGCCTAGGTTTGTACTATACCTCCACTATCCTTTAATTAATTTACTATAAAATTATCGAAACAAATAAAACTTTTAATAATAAGATTGGAGGACCTGAAGACATTTGAGTATGGAAATTAAAACATACTTCGTGGGCAGCTCGTTCAAGACCCTTTCTTTAATTTAAATAACAATCATTCAGATTTCGATGTTGTCTTTTATAACATAAAACCTCTCTTTTTTTTTAGGCTCCTACATAGTCCCGATATGTAGTATATCCTAACTTATTTTAGGATTCTGAGATAGTCACTTGACATAAAACCTCTAATCTTTCTGATTTTTTTGT